ATTTCCATACGACTGAAGTAAATCTCGCTATAGAAAAGGTGCTGCGGGTGCTGAAGGTGCCGAAAAGGTGCTGAAGGTGCTGAAAAGGTGCTGAGGTGCTGGGTGTTCCAAACCTACACTTTCCCCCTTGAAAAAACCTTTGAAGAAAACAATTCACCTTGAAAAACCTTACATCATCATTGCATGACAGTTGATACATTACCAAGTTAATTGAATTATATTCTGATGCGACGATGATTATCGGAATTTTTATATACTTCTTCTTCATGCAGTATTTTTAATGTACCTCTATTTATCAGAGCCACAAGATTTACCTTTTGATCATGTTAGTTCTCTCGTCGAGTACATATGTACTGCAAGAAAAAAAAAATATACTTGCGTGAACCCTCATTCTGAATTTAAAGTATTGTTATCGTTATGCTTGTGGAAATATAATACTTTAGTTCTCAATCTTTTCCCAAATGATATTGTGAGCATCACAAATGACGGAAAGCATTTCGAACGAAATACATGTTCATTTACTCCAAAGAGTTTTTAACCATATCCACCTGTGCAGCAGGTAGTTGTCTCTATTGCAACCTCTTTATGCGCAAATCTGTTAGCAATTGCATTACTGTATCGCAGTTCTTTTCAATATTTTTGTAAAAGATAGCTGAAACTTCATCTTTCACTAATCAGAAATAAGCAACGAAGGATTAGATGAAACTACGAAAAACAATCAGTTGATTTTAGCTCTAGACTGAGGAACAACACAAAACGAGTTTGTCATCAATAAAAGGTACTACAATCAATAATAAGAAATATTTAAAACAAAATTTAATCGATTTTCTAGTCCATGAAAAGATTCTTTAATTTACTTTTTATTTTTGATTCCAAGTAGATTAGCACTTCTTGCGAATTGAAGTTTATATCATTCTGAAAAATATTTTCCAAGGTATCGTTTCATAAAAGATTCATAAAAATGAAAAATTTTGCATTAAAATCTAGGAATTTTCTGGATACTATGCTTGCTATGTAGCCGTTAGTTTTGATAGTTTACCTAGTGAAATTATTGAGCTTCATAAAACTGGTTGTTTTAATTTAAAAACTTTATATGATTCAGATGATTGGTTGGATCATTTTTTTTTCCTATCACACATGAATATAGTCTACTCAATCATTTATATATTTACTAGAACAGATTTCATAAAATATTTTATGACATCTCTAAATATACTGAGGTGATTGATAAGGATTTGAGTTAACAATAAAATTTGGTTTTATTGTGTCCACGATATATCGATGATTTTGAACTTTGTACTCCTTTTCCATCGTTTTTTTTATTGCTTTCTATCTTCGTGATTAAAACTATCTGATATACGACAGAAATTCTATTATTTTCAATCTACTTGCTCTCTTCTCTTAACTCCATATGATTTTAATAGAAATTGATAATAATAAAATTAAAATACTTCCTTGATTCAGAGTCATGCGTTTTCAGTAAGAATAATGTTAGCTCTTTCTCGTTAGTTAACCTGAGAATTCGAAGTTAAATAAAAGAACACAAAAATATTCCAGAGAAAAGAGATAACTTTAGTGAAAACCAAAACTTATTTCAAACAAGAAGTTTAGACTGCGATTGAGTAACAGTCTGTTGGAATAGTTAATTCGATAATATATTTCTGTGCTATTTATAATATCAGAATAACACCGATTCATTTTGGATTTAGCTACTAGTATAGGCTAGCAGTTTTCTGGATATTTTACGTAGAAATATCTAGGTTAGAGAAATAATAATTGTTTTCAATAATTCTGAATGTTTCTAGTTAGTTTGACTCTTACGAAAAATGCTGTTTGCTTAAAAAAAATTTTGCAACAATGGCACGCAGAGTGGCTAGAGCAAAAATTGAAAAATCAGAAATTAATCAGAAAATGGCAGTTTTTGGCAAATTAGTACATCTCCCGCTAAAATAGTGGCATCCAAAAGTCTGCTGCCTTTTTGTTCATTGGCTGAAACTTTATTTTCAAAGATATTTCAATAAAACGAAAGATAATATAGTGAATACATCATTTAGCTAATACGAAGAAATCAATAAAAGATACTTACTGTTGAGGTTCTTTTTAAACTTAAAACTCGTTTACAAAAATGAGCAAAACTAAATCAAATACATTCTGCGTCGATTAAGAACTTCAACGAGAAGAAAAAACGTTAAATCCCATCATCTCGGTATCGCTATTCATATTTCGTATATTTTGGAATTTGCTCTAGGAAGTTTGTTTAAGATAACTTATGTTAATAAAAACCTTCTCAAGAATAATTACCATTCATTTTTATTTTAAGTTAAGCATTATCTGGTTTTATATTATCGGACTACGATAATCGGACTATAAATGCTTTACATGACCGAAAATCAATTCGACGCCAGAATTCGAACGAGGAATCTAAAAGATGATTAATAGAGAAAATTGATGAAGCACTATTGATTTATTATAGTAATGGTTTATAATCGTACCTAATTTTATTTTAGTGGCAAAGCAGCGATCTCAATATTTTCCAAATTCAGAGAGAATCAAAAGATCAAAAAAAAATCAGAAACATGTTCAAAATTCAGAATTTTCCCCTATCTTTCAGAAGATCTGGCCACCCTGGTGGCACGGGGTAATACTGACATTAGACGAAATGCTACAGAGAGATTTCTGTAGTCCATACATTTTTCATAGTGTTATTATAGTATGGCCTTTGAAAACAATTCTGAAGACAGAATATTTTAGTTGATGTTTTACCATAATTTTATTGATCTCAAAAGACTCTGTTTACCCTGAAATCAGTTTAACTCTCTATTAAAAGAAAGTTAGTGACAGATGTGTAATTTATCAAGGAATCGCAGTAAAACTCGCTGCGTGTGGACTGGATGTTCACTTCGTGAAATTGACTAAGAAATGATCATGAATAGCGTTTTATATGCATCTAGAATGGTAGTGTTGAAAAAAGAAGCTATTTCCTATTTATCATTGTTAATTGTTTGCTTTATTGAGCTGATAAATTTTTTAAAAAATAGATAAAACACGTCATTATACAGTAACAACAAACGAACTAATCATCATTCATAAAAAAAAGAACATTTTCTACTATTCGTTAATTTTCAATTCAATTCAATTATAGGATAAATAATTTTTGCATTGATTTTTGAACCGAGTCTAATTACTTTATTTGTTTGTGTATGTAAACTTGTGCGAATGTTACTCATACATTTATCAAGCTCTTCTACCTCTTCGATAAGTATGCCTAAGTACTTTAATTTATTTATTAATGTTTCATTGTTCTTATGGCTTCTTTTTACACATTCTATAGCTCGGACACCATCGTGAATCTAAATAATGCCAATAATATGATAGTACGTTTATTTATTTAAATTATCAGCACACATGATTATTACGCATATACAGTTACATTTTTTATTATAGTTTCAAACGAAAGCATAGATATTATTTATAATTATGAAAATAATTTGATGCAATATTTGACTTTTTGTCATATATCAATAATAGTTGACTTCGTAATCAGACATTTTTCCTGAGCCTTCAAGAAAATCCAATAGCTACGATTTGAACATTTCTATTGTTTAATTAAATAGTAATAAATATCACAGTTAGAAAATAAAAAATCATATATTAAGATTGGATAGTTTTTTAATTGTTTCGAACAACTACTATGAAAGTGGATAGCTTATATACATGAATTGTTAATGTCTAGATTAAATATATCATATCATTTAGTTGTTTATGATAAGTTTAAACTTCATATTTATAGAATTTTATATCAATGTGAACAGACTTTATTTGACTATAATATTTATTTAATAAGTAGTTACTGTCATTATTTAAGAGCCCGTATTGACAGGCCAACAAAAAAATATTTGTTTTTAAACTTTAGTCTATTTCTGTTTTCTTCCATCATTATTTAGTGTTTCAGATTTTGTCAATTTTAAATAAATTTTTGATTGTATCTGAATTTTATTTTAGTTTTAGTAAAATCTTGTATTCATTAATGTCATCTTTTTGTAATCAACAGAAAAAGTAAGTTATTGCAGAGAACGTGATAATTGAGCTAATCAGAAAATAAATTTATATATAGATATATATATATATATCTATATATATTATAAGCGTGCTACATTTCATCAACAACAAGATTATATTGTCTGAATAATTTGTCAGCAACAGAAAGAAAAAAAGAAGGAAACTTATTCAAGCGAATGACAACGTTAAATTATAGTCGTGCAAAGTATTTTGTCAAATAAATCTTTCACACAAGAAACTACAACGATCATTCTCTAGTATAAGCTTTTATAAGTGTGTGATAATTTCTTTTTCCTTTTCTTATATATTTTTCTTAGAAACTTTTTTTATATGATGCTAAAGAAAGAAATTAAGTTTTCCGTTATTCATGTCATGAATAATAATTGCTGGGGTATTTCTTTTTTTTTTCTTGTTCTTTATGTTGTTGTTGTCATTTCTATTATAGATAAAAGTCTGTTTAGTTTATTTGTTATTGAGAATCATGACTTGCACCACATAGGAATACTAGTAGACGCAGGAAAATTCTTTTCCGTCGTTCACCATTTCCTTCCGGTTTAACGACATGTATGGTTCCTTTGGCGTCCTTCTTGTACATTTTGTCAAGATGAGCAAGATGCGGAAGCTTTTTTTAAAATTACAACGCAAAAATTGACTCACTACCTAACTAACAATCGTTCTCGAATAAGATAATATGTCATTTTATCTCTATATATTCGCTGAATAGCCTTTATTGTTCTGGCTTCATTCCTTTTTTCTTCTTCGATACATAAAACAAAAGAAAAAAAAACTGTTTTCTAATATAGCTAATGCGTTGTCTCTGAGTGACATGCAATGAAGCATAAGTTATTCTTGAAAGAAGAACTATAATGAAACTCGTACTAAATATCTATAGTAAAGTTCATCGATAATGATGCGTTCGGGAAAAAGAAAAGAAAAAGGAAATAGAGAGATAGAAGGTAGCGTTTCATCTATGAATAAAGAGTATAGAATTGAAGACAACACAATAGCATACAAGACGACTGAAAATTACTTCTCTCTTTTTTTTCTCCTAGGCTTGATTACTACTACCACTACTACTAGAGTAGAGTAGATCTCTTGGATTTGAAGAAGCAGTGAGTGGAATGAATAGCAGTACTACCATCAATGGAGCCAAATGGAACAAAAGGGCGAAGCAAAGAAAAAGAGAAGAAAAAAAAGAAGGATTTGACGTTCATGAACGAACTCAGTAGGGATTGTCACTTTTCTGGCTGGATTACTTGCTTCATCTTTTTCTTCGATGATTGTTCAAAAATTGCTCATTGATCCTTACATATTCATGAATGATTCTCTACTTCTTATTTATCATCATTTTTTTTTTATTTCAGTCAACTAATAGTGAACAGAAAACATAAATGAACTAATGGGTACCACACTGAAATTTATTATATTGCATTTGGTCTTTGTGCTAGCTGCCAATATGTCAACTTTTCCTTTAAGGCAAATCTAATCATATTTTCTCTTCGGGTTCTTTTTGAGTTTGACATCGTCGTTGTTATTCGCCTTCTCCATTATTATTAAATGATAGAAGAGCAAGCGTTTTTTTTTTTTATAGAAGAAAAACGAGAGGAAGAGAGAAAGACAGAGAGAGAGAGAGAGAGAGAGGGACGGAGAAAAAAGAAATTAAGAAAAATGTTCATACCAGGTTTGCATGTTTAACGCTTATACTTAGATGAATTGATCTCAAGCTGTCTATTTTTCGAAACGAATATTTTCAGCGTGCATATATGCGTATAAATAAAATTTGAAATGATCTATACGAAATGAAATTATTAAGTGGTTCACCACTGGCTGACAAACTGCAAATACCTGTTGTATCGCTTGAGTGGACGGAATGTTTAGATAAACGGTAAAATATCTATTTGAAAATAGTTTGAAGCATTTATTAATTTTAAAAATTTTTTTTTATAAAGGCCAACCGATCGCACTAGTGATGATTTAGATGCCATATTTTCAAAATTAAAAGATGTTAAAGCATTCGAAAAGTTTCATCCATTGCTTATTCAACAACTTTGCTATTATAGTTATTTTGAAAGTTTAGAAAAAGGTGTCACACGTAAGAAAAATCTTTTGTTTTCTTGTAATTAAAAAAGAAAAGGGTCTTCTTTCTTTCTCTCTTCATGTAATTAGTTTTTCGTACGGGTGATCTTGGTGCGAATTGGTTTGCGATTTTGAGTGGCAGTGTTGATGTATGTGTTCCAGCAGAAAATGGCAAGGTTAGCATATTTTAATTGAAACATATCTGGATAGAAACGTTTTTCCATTCGCATATTAGGGTCATACACTCATCTGTACGTTAGAAGCAGGTGCTGCTTTTGGCGAATCAATTTTATATGATGCACCTCGCAATGCAACAGTCATCACATCGTCAGCAGTAATGCTTTTACGAGTTGAACAAAAAGATTTTAAAATATTATGGGAGGTATATACTAGAGAATTTAATCAAATGTGAATGAAAGAATTTAACCTATATACATGATATTTAGCGTAATAAACAATATATGCATGGTGTAATTACAAGTCTCAGCAAATTAACTAATACATTAGGTAAAAGAAAAATTGTAATAGAAAAATATCTAATAGAGAAAAGAAATATTTAGATCCAAAACGACGTGCTTCTGAATTTGATCCATCACTTCTTCCTCAAGTTGCAAGTTCGAAATTTATGAAAGATGATCCAAGTTTGTATTAGAATTCTATTTAATTAACTTTCAAAATTCATATTTGTTTCATGTTTATTTAGCTCGAAATCCAGCTTTGCCTATAATACCCGTCAGTAAAATTATTATTTTCTATATAAATTTATAATTTTTATTATTTCTTTTTAAGGCTCCTTCAGTACGAATTCAACATGCCGCTTATGTATTAAGATCATGTATACTTAGTAAAGCTCAACAAATGATTCGTGATCGAAAATACCATCTTAAAATGCATCGAAGTTGTCTAGTTGGTTCTGAAATGGTTGATTGGCTTATTCACCAAAGCCCATGTTAATTTAATTAACACTATATATATATATATATCATTATTATTTACTGCTATTTATTTTTAGTAGTTCATTCCCGAAGCCAAGCGGTTGGCATGTGGCAAGCCTTATTAGAAGAAGCAGCCATAACACATGGTATAAAACTTTTCTTTTCTTTTAATACAACGTAATCATAATATTTTATTGATGCATTAGTATCACAAGAACATTATTTTAAAGATAAATATTTATTTTATCGTTTTTCTGGCGATGAAAGTGGAACATTAACGAGACCCAGTACAGCAGAAGAAAGTGATTGCGAAGAACAATTAAATGATGTTATCCTTACTCTATCACAAGTTGGACCCGATGCAATGCTTAGAATGATATTAAGAAAACCGTAATGCATAGATATGCTATGTTCATAGTCATAGAATGAGTTTATCTTTTTTTTAGACCTCATGAACGAACAATTGACGATTTAGAAATAATCTATGACGAATTATTACACATCAAAGCTCTCTCTCATCTATCCTCGCTTGTAAAACGCGAATTAGCTAGTGTATTAATATTTGAAGCTCATCCGTTCAAAGGCGAAGTTTGTATGATTATCAAACAAATAATTTCTTCTTCTTTTTTTAATTACTTTTCTAAAACAGTATTTAGTCAAGGAGACGAAGGCAAATCATGGTATATAATTCTAAAAGGTTCAGTTCAATGTATTATTTATGGTAAAGGTGTTGTCGGTACACTTCATGAAGGTGATGATTTTGGTAAGCTGAGTTTAGTCAATAATTCACCAAGGTAATGCTTCCAGCTGAAAAAAATCTAGTATTCATGCATTTCTTTCGTTTTATCATTTAAATAGAACAGCAACAATTATTTTAAATGAAGATAATACACATTTTTTGCGTGTTGATAAAGATGATTTTAATCGTATACTTCGTGATGTTGAAGCAAATACAATACGATTAAAAGAATTCGGTAAAGATGTGCTTATACTTGATAAAGTTCCAATTAATGTGAAAACAGCTGATGGTACATATCAAGTTTGTTATAAGTATGTAGAAAAGACATATTTTTAACTATTATAATTAATATTTTTTCTTTCTTTTTTAAAAATATAAAGATATTCTATTATGTCTGGTACAGCTGAAAAAATACTTGAATATTTACTTGAAACATATATTTGTGTTAATTGTGAAGAAGGTGATACAAATCTAGATGATTTTGTTTCAACTTATGTTATTTTTATGCCAACAAATCAAATGTGCGCAACATTACTAGCAATATATAAAGCTAAACCACAACAGCGTGCTGGTGAAAATATGGATTTAACGTTACGTGAAAAAGTTAAAGTCATAAGATTTATTCTTGAATGGCATGATGCATCAAAAGAAACATTTTTTGAAGACCCAAAAATAAATGTTTTTCTAACTGTAAATATTTCTTTTTTTTTTCTCTTTATCATACAGACAAACATTTCTTCTTAATAGGAATTACATCATTTAATACGTATTGATGTTAAAATTTATCCTCAATTGAAAGAAGAAATCAAATTAATTGAATCAATCATGGAAAATGACTCGTAATGATGTTGTTTTCTTATGCTTTAAAAATAAAAATTTTGTTATAAATTACAGGGATCCAAAAGAAACACGCAAAAGTAAATTACCATGGAAACAACGCAACAGTATTGATAAACCAAAAATGATACGCCCATCAGATGAAGGTTATTTATTCTTCTTTTGACTAGATTCAAGTCAAAAACTAATCACTATTTTCTTATCTTTGACAAAATAGTTATTTTCAAAGTTTATTGTGCTGATCATACATATACAACGATGAAAATGAGAATTGATACACCAGCTTCGAAAATTATTCGATTAGCAGCTGATAAATTAGGCTTACGTGCAGATCAACCAAATGATTTAAAACTGTGTGAAGTTAGATCTACAGGAGGTTTGTCTATTCATTTGATTGATGATACAAAAATTTTATTAAAAAATTTTCTAATCTAGAAAGAATTCTTTATAAAGAAAGTGATTTAAGTATTTCATATGGTCTATCATTGAATGGCCGTCTATTTTTGGCACCTGCTGATCATTTGGATGCTTTGGTATGTAACTAAAATGAAAACAAAAAGATGAAGTCGTCGGAGTATCCATATTTGTGTACGTCATTGTCTACGAAAATACTATTATATAATTCATATTCTCAATTGAGTATAGTTTAAGTTGAAAACAAAATTTAGCATCTATAAGTTCTTTATTTATCATGTTTTACACGGACCGTTGAGAATAGTTTCCATAAATATTTCTGTTAAGATACAAATTATTTGATTGCTTATTTTACTCGTTTTTAAGTTGAATTTCATGTACTATATTTGAATATAAATGTCCAACATGGTCACTGTAATTTAAAATACATAAATCAATCGTCATTAAATAGATTAAAGTAAAAAAGAAAATGAATTGTCTTGCTTCGAAAATAAAATATTGTTATAACTATTTCAACCGTCAATAGTTGCTTACATTTGCATCAGCATCATAAACTTTCACGATTGTCTCTTGTGTAATTTTTAATGACTCTTTGAATTTTTGCTGATTTATTATGTCAGTAATTTCTTTAACATATTGACGATGCTATATAAGCATGACATTTATATGTCACAGATAACTTGCACTTTTTCTCTCACGATACTAGGTCATCTAAATTTAGTCCTGAAGAAAGCTAGATTAGTTTTATTCTGATGTCCATAAGTATCGGCATGTATTTGAAAATAAACGAAACAATAGTTCAACAAAGATGCTATTATACTAATTGCAAATGTGTGTATATTGTTTTGAGCGGTTAAGACGTAGTTAAGTACAATGCCCTCACGAATTGTTGAAGTACTCTGTCCATTATCATCGAAAGAATACTTTCAATAGGTCAATGACATCTTTGCTTCCTTGTAAATCGCCGAGTTAAACATAAATTACTGAGAATAGACTCCTGTGTTCATAAAAAAAAAGATATTTTAATGATCTTTAAAACATATAGACATATTTTTCGAATTGATGTACTAACTATTTTCTACAGATCAGTAATAGAAGGTTCTTGATTTGATATCAAATGAATATATCAGATAAAAAAAAATTACTTATGATAGGTAATCTGAAGAGACTATGAACTAAACAATTCTAATCGCACAAATTACTTAGGGTATACAAAACGTAGTGGGAGTGACACTGTTTTACCCTAAAATAGGCCTCAATAAATTTTCTTTTTATATCATATGATAGAGAAAAAGAAGCTCTATCTTTCTATGCTATTTGATCATACTTCAACTAATATAATGTAATCATTTTTCGACAAGACCTGTTTCGTTTGCATACGTCCTTGTTATATAAATACTGATGAGTATTTTTTGAACAACTTTTTATAAAAACAAGATAGAGAACGTCGGTTTTCCCCAATAGAAAGAACAGGCGAAGGCGCATCGAATCATATATCCGAAAATTTTCTAATATGACTTCTCAAGTTTGTTTCATTCGATTTTGTAACGGTCGGAAAAAGAATTGATTCTATGAAAAAACGAAAAAGCACAGAATAGTGATTTTTTTCACACATTTCGCTAGAAAATCGTATTAGACGTTCGACTAAAACACATGTTATTTATTTGAGCCATTCACGCTTTGTAGATCTTCAATTAGTGATCTGAATTTGTACTTGATAATTGAAAATTTACATTGCAAATAATTTACTAGATAGGTTGCTGTAAAAAAAAATCAATTGAAAACCTGGCGAAAACCATATTATAAAACTCTGTAATAAATCATTGGATGCTTCTTCATCTCTTCTTTCCAATGGTGAAACCCGCAGTTCTCTATCTTCTTTCTATCAAGAGTTCTTCAAAAAATACTCACTAGTGCAATTAGTATATACATAACTAGCCGGAATAGGTTTTATAGATAATTTACTATTTATGATATTAGTTGAAGTATGATCAAATAGCATAGAAAGATAGAGCTTCTTTTTCTCTATCAGATGATATAAAAAGAAAATTTACGGAGGCCTATTTTAGGGTAAAACAGTTTCACCCCTACTACTTTTGGTATGCCTGAAGTAAGTAATATAAGCTTCAAAATAATCATATCTGAGAACTACAGATATATAAAAAGTTCTCATATTTATGAAATCACTTTAGGATATATTCTATAGGATATTTTCGGTAGGTTTTGTGATCTATAAAATGCTACACATAAGAAAATATATTTTATATTTATCATCTTAAAGTTCTAAAGAGTTTTGATGAGAAATTGCATCAAAATACATTCATAAAATGTCTAAATTATAAATGAACAACAATAGTCAATGCTTTTTACTCATGAAGTAATCCTAAGAAAGAAACCCATTGAATAACTTATTAAATTTGAAAACAATGGTGTCCGAAAGAAAGAAGAGCTCTTCGAAATATTATTAAATTCTATAAATAGTCTATCTAATAATAGACTGCTTTTTTTCTTGGAAAAAAAAGATATACAGTTAATGTTCTCATCATTGAAAAAGGCAAAAACCAAAAAAATCTCGGAGTTTTTTCAATACATTTTACGTACTAAAATTCAGATTTGTTTTCTTTTCTCTGCTGGCATAATGATTAAATTGATTTGAATTTAGGTACCATTACCTGAACAAGAAGGTCCGCAACGTGGTACATGGCAAAAATTAGAAATGTTTGGTTCAAAAGAACTTGCATATGCTATTACAATGCAAGATTATGAATTATTTATGGCTATTAATCAAGTACAATAGCTGCATCTTTTTTTGTCTCTAATTCAAAAGTTTTTTCTTTTAATAGCATGAACTTCTCTATCAAGTATTCGGCCGATATAAATTTGGAAAACTAACAGCAAATTTAGATATTTTTATGAGAAGATTTAATGAAATTCAGTATTGGATTGTAACAGAAATATGTTTAACACCAAGTCCGGGCAAACGTGTACAACTTTTAAGAAAATTTATCAAACTTGCATCTTAGTAAGTTGAAAGAAATTCGATAGATTAGTAAATATTTTCTTCTTATTATTCGAATTAGTTGTAAAGAATATCGAAATCTTAATTCTTTCTTTGCTATTGTGATGGGTCTAAGTAATATTGCTGTTAGTCGATTATCTCTGACGTGGGAAGTAAGTCATTTATATGAATTAACGTTTCGAGAAATCGATCATACTCTTTTTGAATAGAGATTACCAAGTAAAATTAAACGAATGTTTTCGGAATTCGAAACTTTAATGGATCCATCACGCAATCACCGAGTTTACCGTTCAACATTAACAAAATTAACACCACCAACCATACTTTTTATGCCACTTTTACTCAAAGGTTTACTCTATATATTCATACACGTTTTATTTTTGACTTATTCTTAATTATTCTCTAGATCTAACTTTTACTCATGAAGGCAATAAAACTTATTTGATTGAAGCTTTAGTCAATTTTGAAAAAATGGTATAAATTTTTTTCTTTTATCTGTTTCTTCGGTATTTGTTTAAATGAATTGTCTTTCTCTTGTTTAGAGAATGTTGTCACATACAATGCGTACCTTGAAAATATGTCGTAGCCAAGCATTACGTAAGTAATAATACAATATAAGGGTCATTCCGCCAGAAACCGCCAGGTGTATTTGATGACCAAGCCAGAATCCATTCAAAGTTACAGAGTTTGTAGAGAATGTTTTGCTGATCATTTTTGGTAATAATCTTATCCGAAATAAAATCTATTTTCGCTAACAAGTAGATCAAATACAAAAAAGTACACTTTTCCTTCTTTGCAGTAAATAAAAATGGCATTTTTCTCGAAAAACTGATGAAAATCTCACTTTTTCACTCAGATTTTAAAACCAACCACTCATTCAGAATGCGTAAATAATTTTTGAAGAGTTTTCACGGACTGCCAGCGCACATTGTAATACACTAGTGAGGAACAGTGTTTGAAAAAATCTGAGTGGATCAGAACTAACCAGAATATTGGCACTAGTAGTTCGAGAGAGCGAAACTTGCTTTACAAAATGGAGCAATTCCTTTTCTTGGCGACTGCGATTTGAGGGTGTGGGAAGCCCAAAACTGTTTTCTATGACAATTTATTAGTCAAATCTGATTACTTTTCTATATTAAGTGCCTTCAAATTTTTTGAAACGTTCACGACTGGTAGAGGTATTTATGTTGAGTATTTTGGTATTAAAATATTTAATGTTCGATTTTATTTTCATAAAGATACGGATCAAATAATATGAGATTGATTTTTTGAGACTTTATCAGACTCTAGATTCACTTCATGAGAATGGAAGCAAACTTTCAAAGTTCGTAAAGCTTGCATCTACTAGCATTACTACTCATTTAAAAGATTTGAAAATTATCCAAAGGGGTTTAATTGGGGAACACAACTTGTGATCGAATATAATGAAGGGTTACGAGGGATGATTTTCAGTTTTTCTTCAATTTTCGTGGTGTTTAAAGAGGACATAAAGGGTTTTGATCAGAAGAGCATTCTCTACAAACTCTATAAATTTGAATGGATTCTGGTTTGGTCACCGAATACACCTGGTGGTTTCTGGTGGAATGNATTGCTCCATTTTGTAGAGCAAGCTTTGCTCTATCGAACTACTAGTGCCATATTCTGGTTAGTTCTGATCCACTCAGATTTTTTCAAACACTGTTCCTCACTAGTGTATTACAAAGTGAGCTGGCAGTCCGTGAAAACTCTTCAAAAATTATTTACGGATTCTGATCCAGTTTTCCACAAGGATTCTGAATGAGTGGTTGGTTTTAAAATCTGAGTGAGAAAGTGAGATTTTCATCAGTTTTTCGAGAAAAATGCCATTTTTATTTACTGCAAAGAAGGAAAAGTGTACTTTTTTGTATTTGATCTACTTGCTAGCGAAAATAGATTTTATTTCGGATAAGATTATTACCAAAAATGATCAGCAAAACATTCTCTACAAACTCTATAAATTTGAATGGATTCTGGTTTGGTCACCGAATACACCTGGTGGTTTCTGGTGGAATGACCCTTGATACGAAAATTTTAATAAAATGCTAGTTTTTTACTCCCACGAAACCTATGACTGTAGGATTGTCAGTTCGGATATAATTTCGTGTCTAGTTATCTTATTCGTTTATAGAATTTTTCTGAAGATAATCGTGTATTTTTCAGTAAAAACAAAGTAACTTGATGAGAAAACGTTTAACAGTAGTGTACCATTTTCATAAAGTGGTAATCCATGAGCCATGATAGTAAAGTTTTCCAAAATCAAGATATGATAGTCTTTAGATTTTAGAAAATCTATTCGAAACTAGTTTTTATTCCTGGAAATTTTTATAAAAATATCAAATATTGAACAAATTAAGAAAGGTATCCTCATTTTCCACAGTTTTCCATTAAAAAAAGTTAGCACGATCAGAACAGACAGTAATATTGGATTGCCAGAATCCTTGTGAGAGCTCATAGTTAGAAATATACACGCGTTAAGTATCGGCGGAAAATGATTAAAATTATGATATTGACTCTTACAGCATTTTTTTTTGTTTGTTGAATAAATTTAGAATTACAAGTACCTCAAGGTGCAAAAAATCTTTCAGAAATTCAAGAATATGTTCTGTTAGTATAAAATATTTCGCTAAATCAATATTAGTATTAAAATTGTTATCTACTTTTTTTTCTAGCGAATTGAATGTCATTGATAATCAACGTATCCTAAATCAATTATCGAATAAATTAGAACCACGACAAACATAGCTTTTGATGAGGGAAATAAATCCATTTATGTGATTTTTATTATAAATTTCGAGAATAATATTTACTTTTGTAACAATAGGTTCTTTTTGCGTGTTTATATTGTATTTTATCAAGAAAAGAAAAGTCATTGTAATATTTTAAAAAAAGAAGAAAAGAAATATATTTCAGTCAGTTTTGATCTCTGCATGTATTTATTTGTTCAAATGGTGATTTATCTCTTTTGATCAGCACAGTATGTCATAAATGGATGAAAGAGATATGAAACAAAAAAAAAAGAAAATTCACTATTTCGATATCTTATAGTTTATTTTCTTTTCTTTTTAATATCAAATGATCATACTGTTATATAAACAAAACTATTCTTCTTTTCTATCATAATAAAAATAATAATGATGATGATTACATTTTATTCGTTCTTTCTTCTTTCTTCTTTCTTGTCATCGCTGATTTGTTTATTTGTTATTAAATGATTATATTAACGTTTGATCTGGAATAGACTGGAAATGGAATAGAAATGACATTGAATATGTATACATGTACATATAGATATATGAAAACCTTGCGCGAACTTCTATCGATAAATGTATAATTAAAGCGCTTTTATTCTTGACTGTAATGAAACAAATCTTATAGGACAATCGAAACAATGTCGAGTGATCAATTAATTGAACGATGGTGTAAAGATCATGCGACACGTATGTGTAAAAAGAAATATAAATCTTTTTAAGAGATTAAATTTTAATGTAAATAGCTACTACTGTTCAATGGCTTGTTGATAATTTTGAACCAGCTGAAGGCAGTTCAATACGTCGTTCAATTTTATATAATTTCTACCTTGAACATTGTCTTGGCCTTAAAGTTGAGGCACTGAATCCAGCTAGTTTTGGGAAATTAATTCATTCAGTTTTTCTCGGTTTAAAAACACGTCGATTAGGCACTCGGTAATTATTTAAAAAAGAAAGAAAAAAATAATCTTTCTTATCTTTACTTCTTGTTCCATTGAAATCAAAGAGGAAATTCAAAATATCATTATTATGGTATACAAGTTAAATCTTCATCACCATTAATAAAACAAATTCCTTTTGATGGTGATTTATTACTTCTATCAAATACACATCAAGATTTCGATAATCAATCAATTCATTTGAATATGTCGCCCAATGAGCATATATTTTCGCCAATATCTACATCGATGAATAATAGCAATAATAATAATAATAATTCATCGAATGAATTTTTATCTCCAAAAGATTCATTATTACTATCAAATGAGTTACCATCAGACATTACAATAAATGACATAAAAGATTTTCAAAAAACTCACGATGATTATTCAACAAAACTTTATCAATCATTACTAAAATTTGAATATGATCATACAGAAAAATTAATTCAACAATTCTGGTCACTTACTAATATTCATTTTTCACAAACAAATGATCTAACAAACAATGGTATTCTACTTTCATTTTTCGAAGCCAACAAGAAAAATTTTGATGAGTTCAATTTCTAAAGAATTCAGAGTTCGATATTTTCCGGTAGCTATTGTATCTATTTTCATTCATTGAGAAAGTAAATTAGGAATTTGATATCACTATACTAGGAAGTACATTAAATCATACTGTCAATAATCTCTTTTAAAATATTGAATAAGACAAAATCACTTAGACAGATGAGTTACAATCTTGGGTACTCATTATTTACTTTTACTGTCTCAATGAATGAGCATTCGATTCTTCCATTGATTATATCGAGTATACCATGGGAAAGATTGAAGAGATACATTTTTATCATAGATATATCATTACATAGGAACAATGATAAGATTTTTAAAGTTCACAAAAAATGATTCTTCTGAAAAACTGCCTGGGTTCCAGTAATGTTCATTGACTATTTCGTTCTGCATTCATGTACATAATCTCTACAACAGAGTGACGATTTGATGTAGGAGAGTTCTTTGATACAATAAATTATAAATGAAGATTATCTTTTATCTCAGCTGTCTTATGTGTATCCAATATAACATTTGAGTTTTCTTGCCAAGTTGCATAGTCTTAAACATAGATCAACGGTACTAGAACGGTGTAATATGTGTGACTTATGCACCAATTGAATGCCTTATGAGAATTTTCTGAACTATTACTTTGAAGCAATATGGAAAATATGAGTGAAGTTTCCTAACTATCTTTCGTTATATACCATGATATTCCCATAAGTTATTATTGTTCTACTGAAACTTTTCATTTTGTTTTTGTTAAAGACCCAATGATCACTTGGAAATTCAGTCGCATATGTACAATACCATTTATTCTTGAACAAATTCGTTTATTCTATTCGAAATTTTATCAAACAATAATAGATAGCTATTTTCCTAATGTTCTTACATCTCTAACACAAACAACAATTGTACGATTGAGTTTCGTTTTGGTTAAAAATTGTTCTACTTCTTTTTTTCTCAACCGTAGGAGGCTATCCGTACAATAGCAAATAATATATCCTACTGGTTAATACATGCCATTGAACATGTATATGATCCATTAAAATTAACACTAATTCAATATACTCAAGCATTTAGTTCCATACTGTTACGTTATACATCTTTGAATCATTTATCTTTAACTGTTCACGCAATGTTTTTGCAATCGTCACGTTTAATCACAATGTCGAATGATTTAACACATATAAACTTCAATGATTTACATGAACAAATCAATTGGTTAATCGAATGTGATTTAAATTTATTTATTAAAATAGAACAATGTTTTAAAAATCTATTTCAATGTCAAACAATGTTAACCGTACACAATTGGACAACATTTATCGATACATTATTAGATGATCATTTAATATTATATAATAATACAAAAGAATATATTTATAATGCTCGACAGTTTTTATTAAAAACAAATTTCTATTGTTCATTAATATTACGCGAATTAACATTACATTATGGTACATCGCTTGGTTCATTTCATTTATTACAATTATTTATTGAAGAATATCTTTATTATCGTATTGAACAAAAAATATCATATTATTTAAATCAATCAGTCATTAATCTAGTGATTGAAAATCTAAATAATGAACAACAACAACAAAAATATATAATGAATAAAAACTATCAATATTTTTTCAATGATGATGATATTGATGAGGATTTTGAAAGTTTATCAGATGATTTTAATGATCCTAGAAATATTCTCAAACCATTATCACCTGCTCAAATCGATGATTTTATTTTACCACATGGAACAGTAACTGATTCGTTTTCATATATATTTGAAGATTTACAACCATTATCAAATGAACTATTTTAAACATTATGACAATATAGAGAATATTGTATCGAAGAAAACAAAAACAATAGATCATTTATTTTTTGAAATGTGTTCCTCCTCATCTGTTTCTCATCAAGCAAATCTCATGCTCTTTTCTCTTCTCTCTCTCTCTCTCGCTCTCTGCCATTGTATAAGTCAATTAAACTTATGATCGATGAGTATTATTTCATTTTAATATCGAACTTATCATTCACGATACCATACCAACATGTCAAGAATGATCATTATCACTAGCATCATCATCATCACCTTCTACGAAATAAACTAGCACATAGGATGCATACATACATAAGTCACATTCACAGCATGTTAGTTTAGTTTTCTTTTTTTTTTTGTGTGTGTGCTTCTCAAACTATAGTGACCTTTACTTAGACATTTCGCATGTTAACTCAATCGATAGATTATTAATTGTTCAGTATAATAACAAGTAGGAATCCGTATTGATAATATGAGATGAGTAACAATTTGCATGTCTCACATCTGCAGATCATTGCTGCTGCTTTTACTGGTTATGTCTCGTGTTTATATTATTGTTCTTTCACATATACGCGAGAATGCATACTCGCACGTCCGCACTCAAATGTCGACGCGTCTTGCTTTTCTCCTTTCGGCTAGATAAACAAGTGCAGTTAACACTAATTCATACTTATTCTTCGAGCATTTCAATTGACTTATCTTATTTTCTATTTCTTGAAATCTGTTCTTTCGATTGAACATCATCATCATCAGCTGTCAACACATGCAGTCGTCCATGGAGACTCGTTTATGTATATACACATACACAGTAGAATGATGATACCATCAAGGTTTGATAAGAATTAGACAAGTTAATGTTGTCGTTTTGAAATATTCTTAAATAAAGCAGCAAGAATGAAGAAGGGAAAAGAGAGAATAAGATCGAATAACGATCTTATCATTCATCTACTCATCACTTCGCCAGCAATTTAACAAATTAAGAATTCCCTAATGAAAAATTCTGATTTTAAAAATAGACTTCTTTTCTTATCAAATCTATATTTAAATGTAAAATAAACATGGATTTCTTTGGTATTCTTTTTTTTAGACTTCTCTGCATGATATAGAAAAAATTCAAGGATAAATTCTTTAGATCTTCATTCGTCAAAGAAAGAACAACAACAACAACAACAACAACAACAACAAAAACAAAAAAAGAACAATAATATGATGAGAGAAAGCTATAATAATTAAAAAAAATTGACAGATGAAGAAAGAACTCACACCCTGTGGAGAGTTGATTATATACATTTTGTTAGTTTTCTTGATAATCATCAGGAGAAAATGATCCATTACTGATTGATGTTTGTTGTCCATTACTTGTATTACCATTAGCTGACCAAGCACCTTCCATACGCCATACACTAAATGCGTAACTTAATGTACGTTCATTTGGTTGTGATGATGGTGAAGATTCTGTATCATGTGTATGTTGTTGTTGTTGTTGTTGTTGTGGCTGTGGCTGTTGTGGTGGTGGTGGTGGTGGTGGCTGTAGTTGTTGCTGTTGTTGTTGTTGTTGCTGATGGTGATGATGATGTTGCTGAATTTGTGGTGTTGGAGTTGCATGTGCTAATGAAATATTGGATGATGAGGCCTGTTCTTCATCTGTACGTAAAATTTGATAAAGAAAATCAATATAACGTGTTGCTAATTTTAACGTTTGAATTTTCGATAATTTATCCGATGGTAAAGTTGGAATAATATGGCGAAGATGTGCAAATGCATCATTCAATGATTGTGTACGTTGTCTTTCACGTACATTAGCAATAGCACGTTGATTTTGAACATCATCTTGGGACATTGATTGTTCTTGCTGTTGCTGTTGCTGCTGTTGTTGTTGTCGTCGTTTTGATGATATACGGTGCGAAGATGATGACGTCGAAGGATATGGTTGATTACTTAATCGACGTGATAAACGTGCTGTACGACGTGAACGACGTTGATTATTTGAATTGTTATTTGAAGATTCTAATAAATGATTTTCATTATTTAAATTATTTGTTGGCACATCAAGATAATTCTCATCGATGTGCATTGGTGTTGAAGGTGAACTTGAATTTGAATCACTTCCACCACTACTCATTGATGGTAATGGATAGATTGGCAAAGGATATTGTTGATTGTTAGTTGAATTATATTCACTTTTAATAAATGTAGTTAAAAATGTTTGATGTTGAAGAAGTGTTGACGATGAACTTGAGTCCATAAAGATCCGCAACGTATTTTTATTTGATAACTAAAAATAAAAAGTAAATAAAAACTTTCTTTTTGTTATTTTTCGCTTTTCAAACTTCATGTTTTTCTCTTGTCGTCTAAATAGTATTTGAAAAATAAAATTATAATCACTGCTGTCGACTTTTATTATTATTATTATTATTATTATTTTGATAATCTTACTCGTTAATTGAAACCACATCATTTTCTACTTTGTTATGATTCCGAGAGTTCTCTTTCATTATTCATTTCACTTGCCTGTGTATATGTTTGCTGTTTGCTTGTCAGATGTAAACGATTAGGTTCATCTGGTAAGCATCTTGTATGAAGATCTCTTTTTGTTTCTTAATGTTGTTGGTGTAAGCCTGGTGAGTACACAGAGACAAATGCAATACAAGTATAACGAGTAGTTGTTTCGCACACGTCTTCAATTAGATATGCAATATAGATGTTTTTTGCCTTTTTACTTAAGGCGAGAGAGAAAGAGAAGGAGAAAATGTTATTTACGCTTTTTTTCTTTTCGCTCTGTATATCGTATTCATTGCTGATTGGTCAAATATATATCTGACAGAGATAAAAAAAAGAATACTGGAGCATTCTATGTCGTCTCAGATAGAGATTACTAGAACATAGATATATAGAAATTAATACAAGAAAGAAGAATAAAGAATATTCTATTGGTGGCTATATCGATGAGGATTTTTTTGATTAGCCAATCTATATACGAGACGTAACCAGAGAGAGAGAGAGAGATAAAAAGAGAGAAATATTACAGTATTGTCCTAAATATAGAACAATAATATCGATTTGATTGTATTTGAAAACTGACAAAGAAAATATCCTTCTTGTTTCTTAATGAACAAATGAGTATAGAATCAAATTTTTGTCATTTTCTTCTTAATGAATGTAATGATTTGTTACATTGATTCATGTATATAACAATTGACATGTCTCATTAACACAAATTGCATTACCATTTATTTCTTTCATCTCCAATATTTGTATATTGCGATATATTTGTTGTCCATGTGTGTCTATTTAAGTAAGCGAAGAGGATGACATTAATTTGTTTTATATGTATTCTATGGAAAAATATTCTTTCATCTTGGTTTTGTTTTACAAGAGTTATCTTTGAATAGGAATGAATGATCAGAATGATCGTAAAAGAATCTTTTTATTTTGAAGAAGAAAATGAAAATTGAGAAGATAACAGTGAGTTTTTATTTACTATCTTTGATGGACAATCGATGTCAAGAGAAATAGATAATAGTTTTTTCTTTCTTTCTGGGATGTAGGTGTTGAGAAAAAATTGATGGTGCGTATGTAGTACAAGAGAAGACAATAGCATCATTATGAGTCCTTTTTTATAGGAAGGTCGAGCATTAATATATACGTATTTATTCTTAACTAATGAGGTTTAGCCATGTATAAAAAACATAGTATACTTGGTTCTAATCGATGTCGATTTGTTTGTGATGAAAATATGATTTATTATGTTGATGCACGTGTTAGTCATTTTAATTACGGCTTATTCCATAGGAAATTCAATATACACGATCTGTAATCGTTCAATATTGCAGTTAAATCGACTGAGTACACTTGCTTACTTCCAGAATAGAATTCGACAAAGGTTTTACTAGTGATTAGTGATTGTAAAAATTGTACGATATGACAGGTTAACATAGGTGGTAGCTATGCTGTTTTCTTATTGGATAAATCTTGGTGCCCTTTTGAAAGACATTAGGCATCGAAATTTGAATTGAAGAAGAGTTTTTTTCCTGAAATATTTTTTACTCGAATATTTCTTATAATAAGATCATAATTATGCTTGTGCAACTTACTCAGCAATTGAAGACAAATTCGTATGTAGAAACTTTGAAAACGATGCTGATTTTTTCATGTTGCAACTACTATTCGCTTTATTTGATTCGATCGTTGCCAAGCGTTCTGTAGTTATATTTTATATGTATCTAGATATTTTTAAGAGAATCAAAAATTGAGAAATAATATATTCATTTTTTTTGTTTATTTCATTCTCAGTGAACAATGTATATCATTAGCACATGATTATCATACTACTGAAGTTGCTGAGGAAGAACGATCAATGTTATAGAAGAACAAAAAATGGCTCATAAAACCTTATGTTGATAAGTTTTTATAGAATAGTCAAATACGGATAGATGCCAGGTAAATAAGTAATTTTACTGTTTCCTTTGTACACGACGATAAAAAAGTTTCTGAACCATATATGAGCCAATAGAAAATTAAAAGCATTTGACTTGAATTGAACCGTAATATTATTTGCAAATATGCGTATATTTGAGCTAGTTTCTAAGAACAAAACTAGGTAGGTCGAGCCATAATAGAAATACTCCTAATGAAAGAATGAAAATTTCATAACAAAATGAAATGCTGAAAGTTTTTTTTTCTGAACAATTTTTCTCGACAAAAAAAAATACCCCGCCGGATAAAATTTTTTTCTAGAATCGATATCTTTTTTATACAGTATTGTAGAGCTCGTTGAGATACATCAAATAGTATATTGAAATTCAAGTTTTCATAAAGGTTTCGTGTAGTTACAGTCGATATACGATCTATACTGGCATAGGGACATGCATGGTACTAATGGAAAACGTACACTCCTATGATCATCTCTAATGAGTGTATACAGATTTAGTTATATAATTCAGTTCGATACAATTATGAGTGGTGCTCAATTTTTTATAATTGATAGTTTTTACCACTACTGCTTTGCTACTGACAAGAGTCATCTTCTACCGAGATGAATGACATTAATTCACTAAAAATGCAATTAACTGTATTCAGTCCTGTGAAGTAGAACAATGCGGTAGCAACGTGAAACTTTCCTAAAAACTGTCCGTCGTTGAGCTCTACATATTTGATAGGCCAAGTTTTTCCGAGCAGCAGGGGTTCGTTGGTAATCTTGAGAGTAGAGGCAAAAACTCGATTATTTTGTCATATAGAGGTCCCAATACATAGACAATATTCCAACAATGTGCAGTATAAGTTCTGAAAATTTTGTTGCATCTATAATCAGCAAACATTCCCCAACAATTTGACGTCAATAGATCCTTTTGAAGTCATAAAAAACATTTTCACTTGTACGATCCTCGAGAGGGTAGAGGGTGCGAGTTACAAATAGTAGACCTACAATTTTTATCATTTCTTCTACAAAACTCAATTTCAATCAGGCATAGTACGTTTACTGTTGAAACTCTATAAGAATTTACTGATAGATCCTCTTTATATTAAAAAAAAACAAATTTTTCGGTTTCCTGTACCCCCTCGAGGATCGTCAAAATATGAGACAGTTAACCCTTTCCGGCCCGGTGTTGCCATATGGCAACATTTTCCCCTAGGGGGGTACGGCAATTTTCAAACAGCGGGCCGGAAAGGGTTAAGCAAAAGTACGCTTATGATAAAATTTAGAAAATATTGTGCAAAATATTACATAATTAGTTTTCAACAAATTGCGATTCTTGTTGGTTTTGTTGCTGGATATTTTAATCGAACTACTACCGTATAGAATCAAGTGTTTCCAGATTTTCATAGATTCATTTTTTCAATTCATTATCTATGAATGTGACAAATTTCTGATTCAAAATCAATATGTTTTCAATTTTCTGCTAATATTCACCAGTGGTGATGAAAACAAAGAACTATGTTGTTCAGAAACCTTAATAGTGTCCGTTAAGTAAAGTATTCCGAGTATTTACAACAATAATTCAAAGAATAATTGTTATAAACAAAATGTACACAATCAATATTGACTGATTGAAACTATTTATGACCTCACTACTATCGCATAAAATTGACAATGCATAAAAGTATGCAAACAAAAACCTACGCTTAAGTGTACCTTTGAAGAAGTTCACTTAAAAAACTGTACAAATATTTTTAGTATTATTCCTTTTTCAACTAAACAAAAGATTAGTTTATTTTTCTAGTAATAATAATATTATTCACGTGGTTATTTGTTTCTAGTGGACCCTTTTTCTTATTCATTTCATGGCCATATTTTATGCATCAGATCAAATCGACATAAACGATCGCACATGTTCATCTAATGAGAGTGTTCATTGTTGAAAGAACTTTCATTGGATTTTCGCTTAGAATATTTTCCTGTCAACTTTTTATTGAATTTTATGGAGTATTTTGAAATTCACAATTAACACATTATTCATTTTTGTGTTAATTATACGCAAATTCTGTTTTTCATCATAGTTTTGAGACTTATCAATAAAATTTTATTTCATATGAAAAAAACGATTCGCTAAAAAAATATATGAAATTATAATTGTTTTGGTAAGCGTGATAATTTTTTATAAAAAAATAATTGAACAATATTCAAACAGAAAAGTCAACTGAGCAATGAAGAAGAAAAAGACAAGTTAACATCGAAGGAAATAAAACATAGATAAACTCTGAGATTTTAAAATTATATTTCATTTTATTCATGCTTTTTTTGTTTTATCTAATGGTAGATAAAGTTGTTTAAGAATATGATTAACACGTTCCATAGCATCGGGTTGATGTGTATTCTCATTAGCAATAATTATCGATCGTTCTCTTAATACAGATTCAATGGTTGCCAGAGGCTGTTGGGTAAGATGATTACTTGATTTTTGTGATAGAGATCTTTTTAAATTATTATTATTGTTGTTGTTGTTGTTGTTGTTGTTATTACTGAGTGGTGGCATTTTTGTACACATTCCAGAAGTACCTCTTACTGCAGCTGTTTCAGCTTTTGAAAATGGGCGAAGGAAATTATCATTTATGGTATATAATCGATGATGATTAACACCATTTGAGTCAGTTATTGTTTCATACGAATATTTATTTGACGAATCAATCATTGGTATATCATTAAGATTCATTGATGAAGAACCAATTAGATGAGGTGGCGATGAACGATTTGCTAATTCCATAAGATTAGGAACTGCAATAGTTGATGGTGATAACATAGGCATTCGATCACTTTCAGAGCCATGTGTTGATTTATTTTGTGGGTGTTGTTGATGCTGATGACGACGATGCATATGTTGTAGTCGACGTTGTGGTAAATTTTTAAACATTGGTGCTTGTGCTGAAATTATACTACTAATGGTTGGAATAGATTGATCATTGGGTATGGTTGGTAAATCATTTAAAGTTAAAGAAACAAATGAAGCTGTTCGTTTGGACACTGTATTATTTAATGTTGTGATTGATATATTTGGATCAACAAGTGTTGATGTGTCTATTTGTGAATGTTCACCTGTATAAAAAAAAAAGAGTTCAAATTCCGGTTTAAAATTGTCTATTATACAGCTTTGTTTTTCTCGATTACCTGCATCATTATCACTATCGTCATCACTCTACAAATATTTAATATAAAGATAGAAATTGTATTAAAAAAAGAAGACAAAACCGTTACGGATTGATGTTCAGGATGAAATTCTTGTAAACCGGAATGGCTTCTCTTCTATGATGAAAGTTGAGATAGTTCTAGTTTAATTAATAAATATTTGAAATAGTTGAACCTGTTTTCGTTCTAACGCTCGTTCAGTAGTAAAAATTGGTAAACCATGTCCACTTCGATTAGCATATTTACTTGTAAATAGAGTTCCTCTTGGTGGTAATGCACGAGTTGCTTTGTCCATCTAAACAAAAAAATGTCAATAAATATCTTTGAAAACTTATTTGAATCAAATAATCTAAGCAAAAGCGTGCGCATATATTGGTATAATGTATGTGAAAGCAATACATCGAATTCAATATGGAGTGTTCAATTAGGTGCAACACTAGCTTTAAGCTAGCTGAAATATATATATATATATATATATGTATAAATATATAGATGATCTTCGACATGTTCTGAAGCAAATTTTTAATTTATTATTCTTGCATTCAACAGTAGCAAACTTTTTACAATGGATCGTTTCAATCCATACAATTATTTGGAGGATAATGATTGAAAGAAAACTGTTTTATTTGTGAAATACGTATTTGGAGATTCATTCGAAATATGATATTAGAAACATCAACTCCAGAAAGAAACGATTTATCACAATTAAGTTTTCACAAGTATCAAGTTCACAAACAAAGAATGCACGTTATAGATCAGGAAAATTCATAAAAATTTTAAATGACTATATCATTAAAGGTTTTCCTATAGTGTCAAATTTATATATTACAACCTCAAAACTCATATCTCTTAATGTAAAGATTTCTTTTTGTTTTGTTGAATGCAACAACAATAGATTTTAATATTTGTTTTCAGAATTAATGTGACATCCTGTGTATAAACATATATAGATATGTATAATGATATTCAAGGATATTGCGTGGTATTTTTAGAACCTGGTCAACTGCAAGTGTAAGTTTTAATTGTGAACTCATATCGATTTCCGATGCAAATGGATACGATACACGTATCCGACGATTAATTTCATTGGTACCATTAGTACTGTCAATACCATTAGTACCACTGATACCATTAGATTCTTCGTTTGTCTATTAGAATAATTATTTGATATTGAGCATGATGATGAAACGAAATAGACGATTAAAACAAAATGCTCACCGGAGCGTATGTTGCTTTGATAGGTTGCGAACGATTAACCTAAGTGGGAGTACAAGTGATTTTTTTACTTTGTTCACTTTTCTTTTATCTCATTACAATAACAAAAAGATTGAATCTACTGACGAAGAAGAAAAGTTTTTGTTTTCACTTGTCTTACCTCTCGTTTACGAACTAACTTTTGCACGCGTTCCTCAATAATTTTTTCTGGTCGTTTCTTTTTTAATTTTTTCTTTGTTGGCGGTTCTTCTTTTCGATATGGAATATCAGGTAGTTCACCACCTTCAGGATCACTATCTGAATCACTGGAACTATTTTAAGAGAGGAAATAAATTCAATTTTTTTTTTATAAAATTACAATAACAAAAAAAAAGAATTAATAATAAACCTTGATGCATCTTGCGCATTGATAGTTTCATGACATTGTGATAATGCTTGTAAACAACTAGCAACTGAAATAATTGATATTGGTGATTCATCATTTTGCTTTTCTTCTATAATATTAAATCCATTAAAGACTAGAAATACGTCGTATGAATTTTAAACATACCTGGATACACAATAGATAATAGAGTAGGCGGAACTTTTTCTTTGCCTAGTTTACGAAGAACATTTTTTGTTATATCCAAAAATATTGAATCCAACCGTCTAGAGAAAAATTATTAAATTTTTTTATTAGTCAAACTTTTAATTGTCATACGTTGAATCTGAAAGAATATCTAAATATTGTCTTAGTGATTGACATATACATTGTCCAAATTTTTCATAATCTTGAATGTTAAAATGGCGTGGTTTTTCTCTTTAATTGAAAAGAAAAGAAAACAATCGCCTTCTGTACATATTCTATTATTGACAAACAAATAACACTTACAAGATACTTGATCCGGCAAATGAAGCTTCTAATGTAAAACTATTTTTTATCATCATCTCTTTCCACATAACAACGCGTCCTGTAGATTCTTTACATCGATGTATATGAAACTTGCAGAAATCAAATGCAAACATTTCCGGCGCCTAATATGTTTATATAAAAAAGAAAAATGATATATTTCAGTTAAACAAAAAAATAGCTACTTTTTGCTTTGAATCATTCACGATATCAGATACTTTTGAAAACATTTTCGTTCTATTTCGAAATTTTAAATGAAAAACACAGCGATACACAGATGTATTCAAATGATTTCTCGTATTATTCATTGCAGTAGATGATTAATAATCTGTTGCCTATATATGTAGCTATCGAAACGATATTTTAGCTGATAAAATTTAAATAGAGCAGGTAATTTAAATTTCTGTAAACGAGATTATTTCAAAATCCGATATAAAGTGACTTGTTCTGTATATGAATATTGATAAATTCCTCACAAAACTATTGGTTTATTTATTTTGTTTTTATTAAAAAATATCAATTATTGATTTGTTACCTTTAAATGAAAGAAAATTAGTTTTCAACTATATTATTGATTCAATTAAAGATTTTTTTTCGAAGAGAATAGAAATTGAAATCGTTTTGAAAGACGCTCATGCATACAAATAGACACTTAGTTAACGATAAAACTAATATTCAGTATATGCATATTAATTATACTTACCGTTCTCGACATAAGAAATGGAAGAATACGTGCACTTAAAAAATTCCTCATATCTGGCTGTGGCCCATCACATCCATCACAACCGTATGCAAATACATTCGATTTACGACTATGACCATGAAGATCACAAAAAGCTATTATCTAATAAATAAAAATAATTCAATATTTTATTTTGTCACTATATTAGGAGTTTATATAATATGAATCTACTTCGTGTTGTTCTTTTTGTAAACTTTGCATTAATTCTTTAACATGATAAATCGTTGGAAACGTTTGTTTACGTGGATGACGAAAATTGCGATTCATGTCTTTTCCTGTTAATGAACATCGATAGTTGCCAATAATAACACCATCAGGATTAAGCATTGGTACAATTTTAAATACTAATTGTGAACGCAATTTCTTTTTTTTTAAAGATATACAGAAAATTGTATAAATGAATTAGTTTTCATTAGAAATGATATTTTACTTGAGCTATTTTATCGTCGGATGTTATAAATTCAAGTACGCCACGCATCATATAACTTGAATTTGTTTCACCTGGATGTATTCGTGCAGTTATAAAAACAAACTTTTTTTCACTTATTGGAACGGCTAAAATTTACGAAAAAATAAAATAGTTTCAGATAAAGTAAATATTTGCATTTCTTGTCTTTATCGTACATTCATCAGTTACAGTTATGATAAAACATGAATTTCCAGCTTGTGATTCACATAAAATATCACGTTGAAATACATCTCGTGATCTTATTGATGCTAGATAATCTAAATCATCTTTGAGATCTGTAAATGTGTATGGATAACAATGTGCTATATAACATGTATCGCCTGAATGAGTAAACTCCTACAAAAAAAGAAAAATCAATTCACGATATTTTGCTAATACTTTTGTTAACGAACAAGTTGAAAATCAAGTTCGTAATAATTAATATCTCGTTCGAGTAGTGGATTATAAGTACGTTGTTTATATTCTGCATAATTAATATGATGGCCAGCACGATGCCAGCCACGCAGTTCTTTTTTTCCGGCCACATCAGAAAAAAGAAGAATTTGCATACCTAATAAAAACAAAACAGACGAATCGAATTTTTCTATTGTACCACGAGAATCGTATTAATTTTTTGTTATGAAGTTTCTTATGCTTATTGATTACTGTAATAAAATCCCATGAATTTGTCCTTTACATCTATGTGAAAACGTGCTATTGTTGAATATTGTTACTACTTTAGAAATTTTAATGAAGAAAAGAAATTTATGTTTTGAGCTTTTAAACTTGCGGAAAATTTTCATTTTTATTGCTCTCAAAGTAGATACAATCAAACGTTAAGTATGCTTCAAGCATCCATAGTAGTAATAAAATTGATTTATTCTCGACACAGTTGCAATGACTTAAAAGAATTCGTAAAGTTCAATATATTTAATTGCGCATTGTTTTTTTGTTTACGCATATTTTCAATTATAATTAATACATTTTTTTTTCTTAACACCTTTAGTTTGAATAAGAATGTTTTTCTTTAAAGAAGAATTATAGCAATATACTCTGTTTTCTTTTACTTTTCACGTGGGCTCTTATTGTCATGTTGTCAAATAATGATTGAAACTAAATATTTACTTATTCAGTCGTATTATTTGCACTAAAACTATTCATTCAATATTATATCTATACTATTACTAATGAATGTTAAATCGATTCCTAAAATCATATAGAAACTATTTAATATGATTCTATTTGGTTTTTCTTTTCTTCTAATAAGAATAAATCGAAATGTTTTTCCTAAATCAATATTGTTATTTAAAAGAATGAAATATCATTGATGCTTATTGATTTAGAAATAAGATTTTTGTCTATGCACATAATTACAATGAAGATCTTTCATCTCTTCAAATTCCATTATTCTAATATCAACTTAATATTAAAATTGTCAATAATTGACATGTGCAAATTTTAATTCTCGAAAATAAAATAAAAGATGAAAAAAATATTCTTTTCAATAGAATATTATTAAGAAAGTGTGAGCTTTTTTTTTAAAATTAATTACCTTCATTATAAAGACTAGTTTTTTTCACCAAATTAATAATTCGAAAACGATATGTTATATTTGCAATCATATTCTGTACACGAAAATAATACCATTGCGTATGTCGTCTTGTGTAAAGATCAGGTCGAAGAATAAGTTCATATTCGAATTGACCTCTTGATAAATTTAGATATTGTTTTAAAATAGAATAAACATTCAAAATAATTTAATATACTTACACACGTTTAACTTGCCGTAGATTTCCACCTTCAAATCGTGATTCGAATATTAAAGGTGGACACATTTGTTCATTTTCATGTAGTTTAGGTATTTGTTGTCTAGGCGATTTATCCATATCATAAACAAGAATCGGATGTTTGATAACATCGGTATATTTAAACATAGCTGGCTGATTATCAAATGTTTGTTGGGAATTGTTACCTAAAAAATGACTATCCTGTGAGTGATAATATTCTTTTGAGCGATTGTTTTTCTGATTTCGAGTAAAAGGTAAAAATGATGGCGTTGGGTATTTCATAGGGAACGCCATGGGCCAAAATGGGCCAGAATCATCAATAGATATTTTTGTTGAACGAAAAGAATAACTCTTTTTAATAGTGCCATAACTCGTTGCCAATTGGTGCTCTTCATAAATACGACTACGCAATTGTAAATTTACGAAAAGGTTTTTACTTGAATTAATTATGTTTCCATTTGATGAACTATTGTCTTCTTCACTTTCATCATTATTTTTATTAAAACTACGATTCAATTCATTATTAGAACGGAGTTTTAGTAGGCTATTTGATTTTGCTGATAGAAGTAAAGAGCTTGATGGATTGTTTAGATTAAAATCTTCTCGAGACCAAATTGATTGTCCAATGCGCATTGCCTTTTTTTCAAGTTATGTTGCCTTATGCATAGATGTTAAATCAATCATCTAGATTTTTTACATGTACTTAACACAGAAAATAAAGGCAAAGAAAAAGTGAGAAGAATAATAAAAAAAGAGCTTTTTGCGACCAATAGATCGTTATTGCTGCAAAGACAAATATAAAAGAAAATTATTTGTTACATATAGAGACATTCTCAATTCCTTTGCCGTTCTTATTTTCTTCTCTTACTGTTGTTTTTTTACTTACATGGCATTGATGAATTTGTAACTGTAAAATAGAATTCTGTAGGTGCCAATTCGCGGCTAAGTAATTTTGGCGTTGGATGAAGGATGCGAAAATCACGCGGCCAGAATGGTCCATCCAGACTAATAATAACTCCATGTTTATTAGCATAAGTACCTGTAGTCTCACCATTAATTGACCTCTGATCAAAGATACTAATTAAATCAGATTTGCTTGATTTAAGTAGATTATTTCCATATAAAAATGATGAATCTTTTTTAATTATTGTCTGGAATTGTCGTTTGCTATGAAAATTTTGCAAATCAACTGATGCATCTTCTAATAATTGTTCATCATTTCGATTTGATGAAAGTCGTCGACGAAGACAATAATTAGTGTATGAGTCTAGATTAAAACTACCGCTGGAAAATTTATTTTTTTGTCCGTTAAATTTTGGAAGATGATTTTGTGCTCCATATGATTCTTTTGCATTGAGTGGATACAGAACACGTTGATTACGTCTATCTATTTCACTCCATGGATCACTTTGGCGGCCGTTGTTTTCTATTTGTTGAGGTGAAAAATGTTGACCAGCTCTATTGATTAATAAATAGGAGACGTGAAAAACAAGATTAGGAATGCCAAACACTAGGGATATTGTCAATTTTTTTGAAGAATATGAAAAAAAAAGATTTTACTATTTATTAAAAAGCGAACTATGAGAAAAAGAGTTAAGCTTAATTTCTAAGTTTTCTTTATTACTGTCTTATTTTGTATTAAAGGAAAATAAGTTAAGAAAGATAGCCAATTAATTAAACTTTCTTTTCGAAGATATATATATATATATATACGTATACATTTATTTACTATTATCTAAAATGTTCTAAGTCTCATTATTGAACATGGTGATTTCCTTAGTTGCTTAGTCACTAGTTTATTTTTAGATAATGCACTCAGATTGTTTTTCGTAAATCATATTGAAAATATGAAATTTCTATTTCTATAAAAAAAAAAAAAGTTTCATTTTGAATATAAAATACTACTGTTGAAACTACTTTTTTTGCCCTATATTTTAAAAGAGACTTTGCTTGAGGTGATCAACTGGATACATATATTTTTTCATACCGAAGATATTGTCGACGTAATCTAGCTAAACGTTCTTGCCTCTCTGTTTCGTCAAGTATTTGTTTTACTTGCCGTTGAAGATCTTCTTCCAAATCTCGATGAATATTGGCACGCCATTGTTCGTACGAGTTAGTAACTAAATATAGAATTAAAATAATAAATATGCTTTAATCTCACAATTCAAATAGTAGAGAAAGAAATTTCATTGAATGCATTCTCATTTCCTACCATTTTGAGCAGTCACAGGCTGATCCATACTATTAGAGTCATGCGAGGATGGACGGATTTGTGGTAGTTTAAGTGTCGGAAGTTCCATTGAATCCGGCATATTTTGAACAGTAGTCATCATTCGTGTTGATTTTGGTCACGATGTCAAAATTTTAAGAAACTTGCACAGCAAACGATGCTATGTATTTAGTTTTAAAATCTTCTCACTTCTTTTGTTGCTCACTTCGTCACTCGGTCGACACCACTTCAATCTGCAAGGATGTTGTTTTTTGTCTTTTACAATAACGCATGTGTCTGTTAGGCAAAAAGCTATTGTTTTTTACTGTAAAAAAACCTATTTTGAAGTAGTAGTGATGATGTTCTCGATGGATACAATACATCCAAAATCAACAGTACCGGAATGCTAATGCATTTCTTTTCTTTTTTTCTTCGTAGCAAAAAAGAAGTCAACTATGTATATATTGTGTGAATAAGTACTGACGTTAAATTTTATAATAGATGACATTTCGTTTCTCAATACTTTCAATTGAATCAATTTCGACATAGAAAATATTTCGTTAAACATATATGAAATTTTACCTTTAAGATGTTTATAAAAATTTTGTTGCAGTTGTTCGGATAAACTTAATTCAACCCTATCATGTTGTCGTTGTGTCGTTCCTTCTTCTAGTATCATTGTTTGTCATATGACATGACATGAAATATTGTTATTTTATACTTTTTTTTGCTCTTTCTGTGTTCTTGTAATATCGTAGTCGAGGATGAAAAGAGCATGAAGAAAAAATGAACTCCACCGATATTTTAGAAAAAAAGAAAGTTCTATTAGTATATCCTTGCGTTGCAAAATGAAAAGCGCTTCTGTGATCAAATCAATAGTTACAGCATTATGATGATCGTTTTGTTTACGAAAGGTTTCTGCGTATATTCATTCAAGGACTCATACGTTATATGGCATATTATTTGAACAATAGATTGATTTTTTTTTCTCTCTCTTCTTCTGTATTGATAAAGTCAATAGATTGATCGAAATTCAAGCCGTACTTCAAGATGATTACTAGTAAAAATGAGAATCGAGTGATTTTATTACTTGTTATGATATTTGATAATTGATTGAGATTACTTAATTTCTTATCATCTCCATAAAGAAATCAATTTAAAATTGCAATAACACTATATTTTGGAGAGAAAAGAAAACGATATATCATGTCAGTGTATGTACTCGCATTTTCTAATGACTAGCAGAAACTTTCAAAATTTGAAGCTCAAATAGGTTTCGACATTCACATATATAAGTGTGGTTCTCTAATCTTCGCGGATACCCGAACTTGATTCATTAATAGTACTATTACAATTCTAATGATCTTACAAGGATGACGAGCAAGGGGGCAAAAAACTGATTTAAATCACAGTAAAACTCAACTTACAATCAATATAAATTAACTGTATTGGAATGAGTTTGCGTGAGTTTCGGTGCCTTTGAATGATTTTCAGTAATAATTTATGATTTGGAATAGTTCTTAGTTAGTTTAGCAAATTTTTCGTTTTCTCAAACTCATTTTAAATCAGCTAAACTCAGAAAAATCATGAAACTCATAAATCGCTTTTTCCCCCTTGATGACGAGTCTATGTCGTGTTTGGAAATAAAATAATCAATTGTTTTTGCAAAACATATGAATAAAGAAAAGAAAAGTTTTAAACATGATACAGACTTGTTATCCTTGATAGATCATCAGAATTACATTAGTACTATGTTTGGTAGAAAAATCCAATTTTTCTGATATATTATGGAATGTTCAGGTACATGAATAGAAATGGAATATCCAATCTGGCTGAGCTATCTCATATATGCATGTAGCTTCTACAGATCATAAAGATTCATGAAAGAACCTGAACAAAACTGTTTCATCTTAGCATGAAGCAATACTTTATACACCTACCAATAATTGTACTTATGTCAGGTAGAATTATTCATTTTCGTTAACAAAAACAAAGGCACTATATTATATTGTTTCTTCCGTTTTTAAAATTACAAATAATTATTATAGATTAAACAACAATTTTAATTCCTGTTGCTCTGGTGAGAATAATGATAAAAATATTTCTAGTCAACTAGGTGAACTTTATTACTGTAATAATGTGGATTAACCAATAGATAGTACTGATAGTAGAAGCAACCATATGAAGAAGACGAAGAAGAAGAAAACAAGAGAACTCCAAATTAATCAAAATTCCATGAAAATCAAAACGAAAATAGTTGGCAAAATTGAATCAATGAATACGCAATATGATTCTCTCATTTTCGTTGTTGAATACGTGCTCGAATAAGTTCTTCAAGTTTTTTTGCATCAACTGCAAATTTTCTGATTCCATCGGATAATTTATCATGAGCCATTTCATCTTCGTTTAACATCCAACGAAATGTTTTTTCATCAAGTTTTCCATATTTTTTCTTTTCTTTATTTTTTTGTTCAGCCTGTTCTTTATTTAAATAGACGTGTATAAGTTCATTCTCCGATAGTTTTTGTGAACCTAATTCATCAAGTAATTTTGGACTTATTGTTAATAAATCACATCCAGCTAAACCAAGAATCTGTTTTGTATTGCGAAACGATGCGCCCATAACAACAGTTTTAACATTGTTTTGTTTATAATAATTGTAAATACGTGTAACACTAACCTAATTTTTTCAATTGATAAATAACAAAAGCAAATCCAATCAAATATTTATTAATGTTTTTTTCTAATGACTTACAACTCCCGGATCTTCTTCAATTTCATATTCACGTTTTCCTTTTTTTTCAATAAACCAATCATAAATTCGTCCAACAAATGGTGAAATCAATGTGACTTGTGCATCAGCACAGGCTAATGCTTGTGCGAATGAAAAAATTAGTGTCATATTACAATGTATGCCATACTTTTCTTCTAATTCTTTTGCTGCTTGTATACCTTCCCATGTCGATGCTAATTTGATTAAAATTCGATCTTTTGATACACCACGTTGTTCATATAATTCAATCAGATGACGTGCTTTAATTATTTGTCCTTCAAGATCAAACGATAGACGTGCATCAACTTCAGTTGATACACGACCAGGAATGATTTTGAGAATTTCTTCACCAAAGGCAACAAATACATGATCAATAATATCATCAATTATTTTCTGTTCATCCAATGCCGATGTATCTTTTGCACGACATTTATCAATAATATCATTAATGATATGATCATATTGTTTCATATTGGCAGCAGCCAATATTAATGATGGATTTGTTGTTGCATCGGTTGGTTTATATTTTTCTATTGATTCAAAGTCACCTGTATCAGCGACAATGGTCGTATGTTGACGGAGTTGTTCAAGAACATTAGCCATCGGATAATACTTGAAGTTGAAGGAAAGAAATCTTCAAATCAAAAATAAAATATGTTGCTTTGTTTGTATTGTTTCAAAAAAAAAAGATTAGATGATTAACTTCTTTCTGTTCTCTTTCAATCTTCAAGAGATGCTTAGTTTCTCTCGCGTAGTCGGCTACGCTTGACTATTTAGGTGATATGTCTGAATCGAAGATAAAATATATGGATATTAGATTTAAATTATTTTCGATCATATAACAAACGACTATCTAACTTTAGAAAAACTACTAAGTTAATATAATCTACTAAGAGAACTTTCAATAAAAACTCTTGAACAAATGTCTACATATTTTTCATCAAGGATTCATTACTAATGATGAATATACAACCATAACGACTAGATGGTCTCGACGCGCCAGATGTTTCATTTCAACAGATGCATGTAATAATTTAAACATTATTACATATTGCCTTTCTCAGTGATCACTTCTGTTAATGAAAGAAACCTTGTTTCTTTTTAGATAACCATTCATTTTTTATTGATATTTTTACGTTTTAAAAAAGCAACATTGAAACATAAATTTTTTTTATCCATACATAGTTTCCCTCCGATAAACAAAAAAGAAAATCGAAAGCACAACTCGAAGATACTAAAAGCTACAACGAGTATGTGAGAAAAACAGAGACAAGGGTTTTTTTTTAGAGAAATAAAACAAATCAACACAGAATGATAATTATAGTAATAATAATAATAATAATAATAATAATAATAATAATAATAAATATAAAGATCGCGCGGCAAATCAAAATACAGACATAAACAAGAAAAGAAAATTGAATGTACAAATCCAATGTACACTTAGTTTATCAAAACAAGAGAATCATGCATGCACCAAACGATACTAATAAAAGATTTTTTTTCTTAGCGCTTGTTACATGTTTATTACTTCTCATTGCACAGAGTAAACAAAATAAGAGCAAAACACAAAGATTACCACGAATGATCAAATTTTAATTTCTTTTTTTTTAAGGCGACATAAAGATCAACAATTAAGACAACGAAACAAAGAGAAGAACGAAAAAAACAAATCAGTTAACGCTAATAGAAACACATGTAGAGCTTTTTTATTCAAATTCACCGATACAAGTACAATCAATAAGAAAACATTGAGATTTAAACCGCAGTTTGTGGAACTGATGAATAATATCGAAATAAATCATTCCTATAGAATGATGGAATATGACCACGTTTTACAAAAACAAGTTTTGTATCTTCAACTTCACAATCGATTTGTATCATGGGCACATGATTAGCTGGTACGTGAATTGATTCTATAAACGTGTTTTGACAATTAAAATATCTAGAAAGTAATTAATATCTATTAAACATACTATTTAAATGTGTAACTGATGCTGGTAAAATTAAAGACAATTTCGGTCGTTGAGTTTGATTTGTTACTGTTGCAGGAAGGATAAGATGATCCTTAAAAATAGTACAAGAAAAACTCATTTGTTATTCTTAAGACTAAAAAAAAGAATTATTTACCCTTTTGAATGATACAAAATATAGAGTATCGTTTTTACGATCAATGGCATGAATAAATTCTTCATAATTCGGCTCATTTCCTTTGTATGGCTGAAGTTGTCCTTTATTTGCTGATTGTGTTCTATGTAGAGATATTTTCAAAAATAGAAAATTTCTTCATCTTTAAATCAATAACAAACTTTGATATTCGCCGATTAAGAAGTGCCACTTTTCTTGAAATATGCTGTTGTTCATTAGGATCTGCTATAGTTGCTAAATCAGGATTAGTTGATATGCTAATAGAATTTGAATCAGCAATTGTAACCGATTTATTGTTATCAATATTATCTTGTTTACGATAATGATCTTGAACCCACGAATGAAGTTCTTGATTGATTCTATGAATAGGAGGAAAAAAGAAAAAAAAAGTCAATCATAATATTGTTCTTTTTATTGAAGTTCTTCTTTTCTTTTGCCGATACAAATAGGACATCACTCAACTACATGTACAGCTATTCGTAATTAAACAATGGTAATCATAGATTCTATTCAATAATAGAGAATATACAATTCAGACATTTATGACACAATATGAATCAATAGAATATCAAATATATTTATTTTATCTGCTTCGTGATTGACGAAATCAGAATGATTTGATGACAATATTGATATTTTTATCTATGTTTTACTACAATGCTATCGTGAAATGTTTTTGACTAGAAGACAATTTTCAATCATGAATTCTTAATTTCATCTAAACTACTTAGCAATACTCTCGTTGTTTTCTTTTTCAACATTACAAAAGATTCTGGTGATTTCAATTCATTGTGATTTAGTTCTAATGGAAGAAAAAATAGCATAGTAGAAAATAAATTTATTTACCGTTGTGAATGTGTCTTATTAATATAAGCAACACATTGTAAATACGGGTAGGTTGTAAGTGATATATTATGATTGCCATCTCCAGCTGAATTATCATCAGTAATGCTATTAGCTATATATGAATCATCATTATTATTCTGACGCGCATTAAGAATGGCTCGACCACGAACAATTGATCCTTCACTATTGAAACCCGAAAGACCATTATATAATGCAACAGAACTCGTATGATCATTCGAAATAGGTGAAAGTGATCTAAAAAAAATCAATACAAATATGAAAACTATATGTTGTTTAATGTCGTTTTAAACGTACTTGAGCGTGAATATATTAAAAACAACTAAAAGAGCAATGCCCATTAGTATCAATGGTTTACGAGAACGTGATGGTGTAATTCCATTACCAATTTTATAGGTTTTCAAGAGTTCATTCTATGAATGAAAATTATTATGCTTTGGTTTTACATGATTGTTATTACAAACCTCCATTTCTAATGTATGAATACGTGTTAATAACTTTGTATTTTCACCTTTCAAACGTTCATTTTCATCATTGAGTTCTTTTACTTTCACTTCAAGATTTTCCATTAACTAAAATATTATTTAATTATAGAAGAATTTTTGTATACAATCCATATGAGATTAAAATTTCAAACACTATGTACCTACTCTTTCTAATTACCAGGAAAATTTTATATTCTATCTGAGTTAGGATATATTATATTAGTTTACTATTCTTTTACGTAATCTACGAAAACTTTTGTAAGTCAACAGTGCATAAGTTACTGAGAGATTTTATTGATATACGATGTAGTTCATATATAAACGACGTCTGTTACAGTGAAGACCATCGCTAAGATACCTGCCATAATAGTTCAAAGCAAAGAGTAAGGCAAATCTATAGTCCTCTATGTTAATACTCTGATGCAATCTGCATTTTAGAAAAAGTGAATTAAAATAAAATATAAACCTGTTTTCGTCGTTTTCGTGAGAGTGATGCTGATTCCCGATTTTTAATCATACGAAGATGTTTCTTCAATGCTTCTTCCTATATAAATAATATTAACTTTAAAAACATATGATGAGACATTAGAATGCTTACGCTAACATTTCCATATTGAACTTTAAGCTGCTCGAGTGTTAATGTTGTTATTTCCGATGATTGTACAGGTATTTGTTGATGATTTGTTGAACTGTCTGAGCGTCGTCGTTTAGCTGGTGGTGATGTCATTGAATTATTACCATTTAATGTTTTAAATAATGTTCCTGTTGGCAATGATGAATTATCACTATTATTATGGTTCGGATAAACTGTAGTCATACGTTTAACATTTGCTGCTACTTGCGACTCAGCTTCTAATAGAAGTAGAAAAGCAATAAAGATTTAGTTCCATTTTCTAAAAATGTTTTTTTTAACTCAACCTGTTTTAACAAACGTAATTGGTGTTCCATTTGTCGATAATGGCATTTTGATCACAGGTAATTTAGAAAGAGTAATAGGCTTTGATGTTGTAATAATCGTTATATTTGCTTGTTGAGACGGCGGTATTGTATTGATTACTGGTTCAATTTTAACGCATTTTCCTCCAGTTGATGTTACACCAGAATATGAACGAAGTTTAACACAATTGGTTATTTGCTGTTGTTGTTGTTTTGGAAAATTCGTTTGATTTGCTGATGTTATTCCTATAGGTTTCGGTAAAATCATTGGTCGTTGAGTTGATACTTGTTGTTGTGGTGGTGGTGGTGTAGAAACAATATGCGACGACGGAGGAGGCGATGGATAAGGATTTTGAATGGATGAAGGTGACAGTGATGGCTATGAACAAAAAAAAAAGAAAATCAATGAAACTTTTCTCATCACTTTCCCAAAAGTATTTTACTAATTGTTGTAATGATTCTGGATTTTGTTGATCAGGTAATTCAAATGCAGCAAGTAACTCATCAAGTGTTGAATTATCTGAGTCAGTTAAACAATCACCAAGCATTAATTGGTTCTACAGAGAAACAAAATTTATGTTTTAGAAAATGAAAATTTTTCATTTTTTTGCTTACTTGATCATTAATTAATGCATGTAAATCATAATTTTCAGCGTTTGGATCATCTGAAAGTGGACTATCCATATTCCATGGCCACCTATCTATGATTTGAAATCAATAATTTCAAATTTAGAGAGAACTAAAAGATATTATCAAATTTGAATACCGAAATGATTATGTAATTCGGTTGTCATTGGTGGTGTAACCGATATTCGACTATCTGAATCATGTTCAGTTGTTGGCGATGTCTATTGAAGATGAGAAATGATTATTTTAAAATAAAAGTATCTATTCATACTGTATTGTTGGAAATTGAGTCGAATCCTACAAACAGCGCATCATAATCAATATCATTTATTGGAATATCAATACTGGTCATGATTAGTTTAGCTTTAAGTTTTTAAAATATGATCGTTTATTAATTGACAACTGCACGAGATATAAATAAAACAAAATAATTGCTAAGATTAATTTTTCTTTTTGTTTGGAAATGTCTTACTGAGAAATAAAAGTGCAACTTGTATAACATGAAAAAATTATTTAATAAGAGATTATTGTTTTCATTTCTGAGAGAATGCGAGTGCTATGCATGAATCTAAAATGGGAAATTATCATTTTTTTTTGTTTGTTTGAAGAAAATTCAGGTATAAATTCGCAAAATACATATTATTTACACCAATCCAAGAGTGACAAATATCCACGTCAGTTTGCACTACGTATGATTCGTCGTTGGCAGTTGCGAAGAAAGGAAGAGAAAGAAAGAAAAAAAACGACATTGTGGATTATAATGCAGTGGGCGGCATAGGTTGTGTTCTGTAGACCTTCATTCAGCTGTTTGAACAATAGTGCCGAAAGAGGACGCTAGCATCTTTTCTATTCAATCCCTCGATTTGAATCAACATAGTATTAGAAGTAGCGTTTTGGTATACGAGGATGATTATAATCGTAAAGTATGTTTTGAAGTTCAATCAAGGCCATTTCATCTCATTTTCAGATGTTATCTACTGAGACGTTACAACACATATTCGAAAAGCTAGAGACATCGTTGCGACTGTATCGTTCGACTGTCTTAATACCATGAGAAGAAATTCTTGGTATCAACGTGCAGTTACTTGTTTGTTGAATCGTTTCTTTTTTTTCATGCAAATATTTAAAAGTCATCAAATATTTACTATGTCAAGATCAGAAAATACATGGCATTGCGTCGAGTACTGATCGATGTGCTGTGAACAAATTCTTGTTTTAATTAATCAGTTAAAATATTAAGTGAAACTTCCAAATTGAAAAATGAATTAGAATGGATCTTTTCAGTTCTGATTATTTGATGATTTGGCAATCAAAAAAAAGTTATCAGAAGATTTATAGAATTCTCTAAAAAGAATAAAAGCTAATCTAGTACAGTTTGTATTTAGCTACTTTATTATTTTAACAGGTCCTTGATAAGAGAAAGTGGATCAGTCTCCTTCAATAAATATATTGTTTTATTAAAAGAAACTTAAAAATTTGAAAGTATGATGTAAAGTTAATTTTTAAATATCTAGGGCTAGGGGTATTATCTTTTAGTACTTACATATTTCAGGAAGTTACGTCTCTGAACATATTTATAGATGCTGCACACTTTTATCAGAGTGTAATGCTAATCTAGAAAAATCAATATAAACTTCGGAAAATTGCATTTTACTCTCATTTATTCAATTAAGTAAAGAAGATACACTGCAATTACGTTTGTAACCAAAAAAGTGCTACCCACCAGTAGTGAAAATTGATCGGGCATGATAAACAACAATGCCAGAGCATCATTATATGATGAAAAGCTGTTTGTTACCAGAATTGGTGGAAAACGTTCGAGATATTGTGAAAAGTGATAATGAATTTTTAATGTGGAGATCAATAATCTCGACCATTTTAATCACTACTACCAGAAATTGAAATTTTCATTTTCGCTGATCAGAATAATCAAACTGGAGTTTGCGTCTATTTTTGACAACATAAAATGAACTTCTTAGTTAACACTGATATGACAAGAAGGACTTATAATGATAAAAGATTTCTTTATTTTTAATGACAAAAGGAAACGAGATTTAGGTTGTGTGAGCAGCATAAATTAAGACGATTTTGAATAAGCCTTTGGTACACAAATAACATATAATGATGTAGTAAAGAGTGTTCATCTGTCTGATAACCTTCATACTTTTCTTTTGCATTTATTTGCTTATGTAAAATATTTTTCTTATTTACTACTATATTAAGTATACACTTGCTATCGCTTCGCTAAGAAACTCGGTAAAGATGAGAATGGGTTAGTAACTAAAACCTTGTTTTTTGTGTGTTTTTATTCTTCCTATTGTTCGGAATAAATAAGTAAATAGTTTTTCATATGAAGGAAAACAAGCGTATAAAATATATATTGGCATGAAAGTAAATTCAATTGCAGTTCATTAAGTAAAACTTTTAACTGATGACTGATGACCTACCAATACACGTATCGTTAACAAGCTCCTACAACTATAAGGAGAAATCTGACATCAAAATTTTACAAATTAACAAGCATCTTCTTCGATTACTCTATGAGTGAATTTTGAAAAGCTTTCAAGTTTGACTACTTCATTCAAGACAGCCAATTTTAGAAAATTAGTAATTTCTTTTAAAGTTTTATAAGAAGTTGTTGTGACTCATTAATCAGAATTCGTCAGAGATTTCTTTACGCATTCATTATATTGATGTTTTTGCACATTAATCATAAATTCCCAAAAAGATGAGATGAATCTTCATAGTGAATCGATGTTTTCTTACAACAATCTGCTGAGTGATAATTCAAATCTTAGAAAATTTCTCTCGGTTAGTAATCGCCTCCACTAACAACATTAAGTCAATTTAATTAACATACGACTTGATATTAAAATTATCACAGTTTTGCTGGTTTCATTCATAAGTTCAGTGGTATTTTTTAAAATATTGATAGTAATAAAAAACCTTGAAGATGATATCAGAAACTAGTAAGTACATGAAACAATCGTAAACTGGATATTTTTTAAGTTTGCTTCTTTACATTTAACGTTTCTGGTTAAGTTAATCTACCAAGCTTGATGTAGTATAATTTCAACGACAATTTCATGAAGAAACGTCACAACATACATAAAATCTCATGGAATAGTATTGAAGCGTGTGCATACAATGAAGTTTCCACCGACAGGTATCCCATTCTGTCTTGGAATCTCGAAAAACGATGTGAGCGGAATCAATAAATTGGCTGAATCAAAAGTTTGCTAAATACATAGCCGAATTTCACCACGCAATGATTCTTTAATAAACACACATAATCAATATTTGAGAATTTCATGTATCTTTTCTTTTTCAATATTTAATTCACGGCTAGAATCTCTTTTTGATAATCTGATAGCAAAACAGTGTAAGTTCCCTGGCACATTACAGATAACATCTTTAATACATAATTTTGTGAAGAAAAAAGAGAATTTATAAACCTGTGAACAGTTATAAAATATTATCGATATGAATATTAACATATGTATGCGCTACTGACCAATGTTTCTTTATTCCTGGTGAACAAACGCATGATATAAAATATACATACCCCATCCTCTGATGAGCAGATAGTTCTAGAGATGGGCAAGTCAAGTCATTTTTGACTTCGCTTGGCTGGAGCCAAAAAACGTTTTGACTTGTCCATCTCTGGGGATAGTTTCCTTTTAGATTCTCCTGAAATTTCTTCGACGAATGGTATAAAAAAAGGTCGAAAGAAAAAATGTCGAAAAAAAACTAACCGAAAGATAAAAATATCGAAAGAAAAAATGTCGAACTTACAAAAACATCGAAAAAGTCGAGAATGATTTAAGTAAACAATTTAGCATTGAATTGTATCCTACTGACAGCTAGAGTTATTTTATGATATTTTTCTGATTGTCCATTGTACACTCTAAAAAAGGTTCTTCACTCGGGCAGGCGGGCAGAATTTTTTAAGATTCTGTGCAAAACCTTAAAAGTCTTATCACTAAACCTCAAGGATTGGTAGTTTCATGCGAAACCTTTTTAAGTTCCGTCGATTGGTACGAAATTTTTTAGAATTTTTTCGAAACCTTCAAAAAGATTCTTCTCATCTGCCGAGGGAAGAACCTTTTTAGGTTTCGTATTATTTGCTGAACCTTTTTAGGTTTCGTATTATTTGCTGAACATTTTTAAGTTCGGTATAGAACTTATCTTTTTTTTAGAGTATGACACGATGATCTAGAGCGTTCAGATGTTGGCATTGCCGTTAAGAGTACCCACATCCTCACCCGTACCCTCACGCTCACCCGCACAGTCGCCCTCGTCCTCACTCATACGCACATCTATACCCACACTCTCACTCTCATATTCACCCACACTCATATAGATCTGATTTTAAACGATTTCTATTTTTAAAGCATCAATAAAGTTATTTCTATTTGAATAATCCAAGCTATCTTATTTTAACATTTTCGGCATTTTTTTTCGACCTTTTCTATACATACCAAATTAGATATTAATTGACATTATTTACCATATTATTGATTGTTTTCTGTGAAGATTGCATATCAGTAACATTAACATAAAATGTATGAAGTTGATTGAAACGTCCATCAAGTAAAAAAAGACAATCATCGAAATTGTTTACAGTAACATGCAATTCTAAGAGAGTTGAAGAGGCTAAATTCTCAGTAAAAACTTTCAAAGATACTCTTGAATACCAAATAGAAGATGGACAAAAATTCAAATATTGTAGACTGGTGAAAATTTTAATAATACGTTGAAATAAGATTGCATTGAAAAATTCTCCACCATTTTCCTTTTCATTTACATGCATATTCAAAGTAAGTGATAAAATTTGAGTTTTAAATAGATCAGTTAATGCATTTTCGTCTGAACACAAATACAAAAGCCATGAAATACCTGTAATATAATTCCTCAGCAATGACAAAACAAATACTGATAAATCATTTATCAGATATTTTATGAATTGAGTAATTTTTAGTCTCAAAAGAACTGCAATGCGACGGTTTTTTCTATATATGCGTCTTATTTGTTCTCAATTAAAATAATTGAAATAATATATCTCACCCAAAAAGTAGGGTATAATTGTTTTGAGGGTAATATTACGTAAAGAAAGTCCATCTAAACTAGGATAATTTGTAGCTAGAAGAATATGTTCCATAGATGATGATTCAAGATGAAGACATTTGATTTTATGGTTAATTTTAGGTAGAATTTGTGAACAAAATTGATCAAGCATTGAATCAGTTAATGAACATATGGAACCATCCGATAAATGTTTCAGTAATGTCAAATGATTAGTAAAAATTGGATCATGTGCAATTGTATTAAATCGTTCATTAACATCTATTAGAGAATAGAGTACATCAACTTGACGCATATTTTTTAAAATCATCCTAAGAATTTCATTAGGCAAATCATCCAATTGAATCATTGAATGTTTCATGTTTGTTTTCATTTCTATATATGATTTTGTAACTACGATATGGGAGTATTTATATGTACATATTTCTGTCATCTAATTGATTGAAATCGTCCATGAAAACAAAGGTTCATTTTTCTATAATCCAAGCTGTCTATAAGTGAGCAGGATGTGGGTGTGGATGTGGGTCTTTTCTTCATTTACCCACACCCACACCCTTAAAAAAGATGTTTCACAAAAACCCCAAAACGGTTTGCATTAGGATACAACACCGTTAAAGTTCTGTAGAGTAAAAAGATTTTGTATTTTCTGTACAGATCCAGTTTAGGTTTTGTAAAATAGGAGTGGTTCCGTGCATTTGATACCGCACCTCATGATGGTTTAGCGGGCTAAAAAGGTTCGGTGCACTTCATCTTTTAAGGTACCCGCCCACTTTCTGGGGTTTCTCGAAAACGACTCAATGTAACTTCGAATTAACCGAACCGTATTGTTAGGATCCGTACTTCTCTTTATTAAAATAATGTAAGGCGAACCTAAACCTTTCACAAAAAAAAAAGAAAACAAACAATAACAAAAAACAAAATAGATAACTTTAATCACCATATTGGAATATGTATATCAGAGGGAGAAGAGAGAGAAGGCAAGAAAAAGAAGAAGGAGGAGGATCGTTCATCTATATAACATATATAGATGGCAGATCCTAACACTTATGACCAAAATGAAAGGGCAAACGTACGTCTCCAAATTGAATGGTTCATCACAAAAGACAGTTGATGTTTCTTCTCTATGCATCAATCGATTGTTAGCTGAATAGTTGATTCCAATCGAAGGAAGATTCCTATCAAACGGCAAAAGAAAGTCATGCGATTGATTTCTCCCGTTTTACCTGTGTTTCTTTCCAACTCTAAGCGAAGAGGAAAAGTGCAGGTTAACTCATCCTTGTCAGCTTCTGCACTGTTACAAGTGAAGAAACTGCCGCACAGTAATCTTATCGAATCGAGGGTGTGGGGTGTAGGTAGCGACCTAGATACACACCCAAACCCTCAATAATGTAGTTATTTTGTTACAGCAATAATTTAGAGTAATGGTATACGATATAGTCAATATAGTGGGAAAAACAGTTCAAAGTAATATTTGCCATGCTTACAGCATTAAAGAGTATTCGTTTCGTAACCAATAAAACTATACAGATCAACGAAAATAGCATTCAAATAGTTTTTAAACACAACTTTCTGTATTTTTATTAAAATATAAAGCTAGTCTTCACTTTTCTATGGTTTTACATAGAGCTTCTGCTACCAGTATAAATGTGTCTGTTATCATGTTGTAATACTATTAAGTTTAGACTTGTCAAATCTAAATCCCAAATAGTACAACGAATTTTTACTTGAACCTAGAAAGTTATTTAGTAACTTGTTTCTTAAAGAAATAGGAACCTTTCATTAAAGTAATTTCTTTTTACTCTCTGCTGTTAAGTTAGCATGAGAGAACATTTTTTTAAATAATATATTACAAAAGAAAGATTGACACATGTATTCGATAATATTAGTCATTTTACAGTTATTTATTCTAGTGAACAAACAAAAAAGAAAAAGCAAGTTCATTTATAAAGTGATACGAATCAATAGGAAATCCTTAGAGTTTCAAAACCAATAATCAGCTGTATACTATAGAAAAACGAACGTTTCCTCATTTCAATAATATAATGAAAATGATAATGCTGAGGTTTAATGAAAAATATGTTGAGCGTGCACCTAAAAGTGTTTGACAATGGTTTTCTTGGTATATACTAAGCCACGGATCTGATAAATCATGTTGCAATGGGTTTTACGTTAGCAGAACGGCAGGTGCCATTTTATTATTTTATTATTTTATTGGCTGAGAACCACTCCAGTTAGATATGACATCTGATAACAAAAATAAATAAATCTTTATGAGTCAGTAAATGTTACTTTGAATGCGCTTATATTTCAGTATTTGATCTAAATCGACTGTTCGAAATTGATACTTTTATAGATGAGCATGATTCAAAACGTATATGCGTTCGAAATCAGGAAGATCATAACAGCATCTGTAGGAAGTCTTACAGTTGTTACTACTACTAGAATAGTTGTCGGTTGGTAGTATTTTCAGGTGCATCAACACTGAAGGTTATCGTTACTTACCATAGAGATGGCGTCAGTTAATGTCACACATAAAAACGGTCTCATTGCCAAGATGAAGTGTAACGATAATATAAGTCATGTTTAAGTTCTTTTTTTAGTGAATCGCAAATATCGAGTGACACGAATTAGTTTATCATGGAATTTCTTGTTAAAACTATAGGATCCATTGTACCCGTTAGCTAGTAGATCATTCGTTTCGCTTAAATAATAATTACCGGAATTTTCATGCAATATAATCATTCTTTCTTCGGTAGAGAACCTAGGTTTAGTTTACATTTGACATTCATTAATGAATCGAGACGACTAATGTCAACCAGGATGTAGGTTATCAATTAGAGTTCATTTATTGCTTGTTGGTGTAAACTCGGAGCGAATAGAACTTTGATAAAGAAGGATTTCAGTTTCAAGTAGAATATTTGCATAATGAGTGCTAGTCTTTGTTCACATATTATTATTCTTTTAGTTAGCTGTAATCTAGTTTTATTGCAGAACAAATGATGTAAATAACAAGTTTTATTTATCCTACTTGCTTCAATAATTCATGTATTGACTTTTCTATTCTTCACTCGTTTGTTCTGTTCAACTTCATTTTTCTTAATCGTAAGTATATTCACTTATTGACTAATTCTGCACGTTTATTCGCTTCTTCAGATGTTAATAATCTGATTTTTCCCCGTGTCATTACATACTTCTTATTATTACGGGCACTGCATGATTTACAAAAGAAAAATTGAACACTCAACAAAGTTCTGTTGCATGTACGCATTTATTTTTTTCATCAATTAATAATTTGCATCATATTATATGAATTTTTTTAATTTTAGGAATTTTATCTTTAGTAAAAAAATCTTCAGTAAGTATTATCTATGGTTCTTAACGTTTATATTAACATTTGCAATCATTCTCTTTTATAAAAAATTATCGACTCCTCTGCAATGCAATTTACATCTTATAGACAATTATACAAGTAAATATCCTTATATTGCACTAATTATTGATGATAGAACTAGTCAAGAACTTGTCAATGCTGTAATCAATATTTTACAGCACATACCAACCGATTGGAAAATTCAGATTATTACACCAGTTCAAAATTGGTCTTACTATAATTCATCATCTCTCTATTCCTTGATTGCCAATGGACGTGTTTGTATGACATCACTAGATTTTCCAAGAGTAGATTTCACGGGCAGCGAGTATATCAATTTACTTCTAACATCTGCATCGCTTTGGGATCAAGTACAAGGAGAAAAAATATTATATTTTCAAACGGATTCAGTTATATGTTCGAATTCATCATATAAATTGATAGATTTCTTACAATATGATTTCATTGGTGCGCCATGGCATAGTGGTGGTTGTTGCAATGGAGGATTTTCATTACGAAGTCGAAGAAAAATGCTTCAGCTGCTTAATAGTGATCTTGATCGCTATCGATTGCATGAAACGAATGAGGATGTTTGGCTCAGTCGTAATTTACCTCGTGTTAATGCGCATATTGCTTCCACTACTGTCGCAAAAAAATTCTCGGTTGAAAGTATTTATCATCCTCGACCATTTGCTGTTCATAAGCCGAATTTCCAAGTATTAGGCTCAGTCAATATGAAACATTTATGCAGTGATTGTCCAGAAGTTAGAACTATTTCTTCTCACTGCTAATTTAAAATGTCTCACAGCATTTTTTTTCACCTGCGTGTAACTGTTTTTAGTAAGAAAATAGCAATATTACTTGTATGTTTGAAAAATTCCCTAGTGAATTTCCTATCAAAATAACCAGAATAAATCTGTAAAAAGAAAAAAGACTACAAGTGCAATTCACAGCATGTAGCTAAGTGTTTCACATCGAGGATCATGAGTACTTCACGAAGACGAAAGTTAAATTATGGAATACTTATAGTCGATTTGTTTTGCAACTATTGATAAAGTATACCATCAGTAGAAAAAGACAGAATCAATTATATTTTGACATCAGTCCAGTACAAATGATTACTCAATCGATGTGTATCAAATTTGAAAAAATTTTAGAATCTTTTTACAGTTGATTTAAGTTCCTTTCTCGTCTTGTGGGATTTTAGGTTTTGGGAAAGTCTTTTGCCCATGTCCTCTATTGGAATCCTGCAGGTTAAGACTTTTTTGTACCCTAGCCCTACCCTATCGTAAAATTTCGTACCCTTGTCCTGCTCTACCATCTACCCTACCATAGAGATTTTTCATTTTACACCCTATCATATCCTTGGAGTTTCAGGTCGAAGTATAAGTCAGCATGAAGTTTTTCTTCACTTTGTTTCAATATATTTTATTGATTTTCAACGAGAATCAAATACAAAATTAATAAATATTTCGAAAGTTTCTTAAAAATAAAATGTCATTTACAACATCACCACTTAAATGTGGCCTTCTCTCTTCCAAAATTCGCCCATTTGCACTAACAATACGTTCATGTCGAGATGATTTCAAAGATATTTTTATTACATTTACATGCACGTTTACTAGACAAATAATCAGACGCGACTGAACTCGTCAGCTTACGTAAAAAATAGTACAAAAAAATAGGTCATTGTTTTCCGTTTGCTGTTATTCTATCTAATGAATTTAGATTATGATTGTTAGATAGTTACGTTTACCTAACTCTTTATTCCTTCAAAACCGACTTCAACTAGAATCACTTCAACTACAACTTCTTCCAATCGGACTTCACTTAGGTCTCTTGACCAATAGATAGATATGAGAACAATGAGAGGTAGTGGTCGCAGATAGCGCCACTACCTAACAATAATATCGCTCCTTACACTGTTTTTTTATCAAAAAGATGTCAGAAATATATATTAAGTTCTACTCTATAAAATTTTTATTGATGTGAACTACACCCTACTTATACCCTATATACGTATTTTTTGTAACCTTACCCTACCCTGCCTTGCAGGGCAGAACAAGGCAGGGTAGGGCAAGGTTTTCCTGCAGGACTCTAGCCTCTATCCATGGAAATCCCTTTGCTAGTTGATTTGTGTATCTCTAACGGTGACGAATTATAACATCGTTTAATAAGAGTTTTCTATTCTGCTAAAATTATTAAATAGCAAAGCCGTTGTCGATCTCTTCATGCAAAGCCAGTTGTTGTACAACAACTTAACAATAACCAATGAATTCTACGAATAGATTCGAGTAAAAACTTCACCTGTAAGTTTACAAGTAAGGTTGATGCCATTTCTTAATAATACATTGAATAGAGAATATTTTGATTTTCTAAATTTGAATGCACACTTATTGATATACTGAATGTTTATAAATAGTGAAATCGTATTGAATTATTTTATCATTTGAAATTTAGATCATCTATTTTGCAGTATTTTCATTATCATTATTATTAAAACCGTGACAACTAAATTTCGAAGGAGTTCGTAATATAAACTTGCTATTTATTCGCTTATTTTTCTTTTCTTTTCATTTCAAACCGAAATACTTTGCAGAAGTTATGGTGATAAAATTTCGCACAAGAAATACTATTACATTATTCCGAATAGATCAAAAGAAAAACACTCTGTTGTTTATTAAATCATAGCTGAATTCTGACAGGAAATCATGTGAGAGAATAGAATATGTTTGATTGCATTGGTGATGCCTTGATTATCGACGAAGTTTGAATTCATACAGTTTTGTCTTCAAAAAAGGCAGATTATGAAATACATTCTTATCTATTTAATCAATAAATATTGATAAAATCATTGATAATGTTCACAAATAGAAATAATTTTAGCTGCGAGTTGAGAAAGATATTTCTTGCTATCAATTAACTATAAAATAAGCAAATTGTAAGTCATTTTTTTTTAAACTTAACTGTAATTACATCTTCAGATATTTTATGGAATTTTAAATAAAGAATTTCTTTACTTGATGTCTACTTAAAATTTGAAAATACAGAATATATTTGTCTATTGATTTATTTTGACTGAATAAATGAACTTAATACATGTTCCATGTCGTATATCGATATTTGTGTATGATACAATGAGAAAAACAATTTTTAGTTTCATAGGTTCTTTTTTTGTTCATTGGAATGTCGATGAATTCTGACATGTCGATCCAAATTTCCTTTATGACTTGTTGAATAAGAACATACAAAGCAAAAGAATGGTTTTTGACCAGAATGAATCGATTGATGTCGTCTTAAAAGTGCTTTACGACAAAATGTACGTCGACATGTATCACAACGATAGCCACAACGATGTTCTGTATTGACATGTGCACGAAAATGTGCTTTACTTATAAATAATTGACTGCAACAGTCAATTGGTTCCGAGAGTATTTCATGCATTGTTTGTATGTGCCGTTTGAGATTATTTAATCGATTTGTTGTATATAAACATTGTGGACATGATAAACGTCGACGAACTTTTAAATTCGACGAAGCTATTGATGATAAGGTTTTTCGACGGCAATTTCCGACTGTTAATACAGCATGAGATTCTTTTTCCACCGAGCCAGAAGAAGGAACAATGTTTGGAGGTGTTGATAAGAGTGGCGATGATGGTGATGATGACAAAGTTCCTTGAAAATATTGACAAAAAAAATTTCGAAAAAAAGCTTCATGATACATATTATATGAAGAATCTAATTGAAAGAATGCAGTTGGTAACGGATAATAAAGAGCAGGCAATAAAACTTGATTGAAATTTGTATATTGATTGGAATTGAATAAAGACCTAGAGATAATCACAAATAATAATCTTTTTCTATCTTTAGTTTCCAATGACATTCTTAATAAATACATTTGATTGATCATTTTTGATTCAAAAATCTTTTTTTTCTATCAATACACTCTCAAATCATAAGTTCTTGATCTCTTTGAAATCATTTTAAATGCTTCCATCTCTGAGTATAATTTCTTGAATGCGATACTTACTCATAGTATGAGCTCATCATCGTAATGTTATTGTTCAGACTATTAAAAATGACAAATGGACATGAAATCTGCTAATGTCATTGAACCGTCTGGTCGTTTCTTTTTTCTTCGATTTTTTTTTCTTCTTTTTTCTTCTCATCTCAAACATTATCACAGATCATACACGTACAAGACGCTGGTCTATTGCTCATAAATACGAGATTCAACAAAAACAATAAAAAAAATATTTGATTGAAATAGAATTGACTCGCACATTTTTGTGTATCTATCTATAGAGATATGTTGATGTTTCATCTCTCGGAAAAAGAAAAACTTAATCAATGCATGCGTAAATGTATGTGTACGTGTCATCGAAAAAAAAACATTCAAACGTTAAGAATAGAGAAAGAAACACGGATGGCGACGACGACGACACCGGTGATAAACGAGCATACATTAATTGAATGGCATTTGAACTCACTTTTCCCAAGTGACGTTACATTAAGTGTTCATTATGAATACAAAGAAATAGGAGAGATAATGAAAAAGAAACATGTCAAATGTCATCCCATGAAGTGATTTGTCGTGGTTCTTGATTTGACTTAATTTTATTCAATAAAACTTGATTGTGAGTTGCGAAAGCCGAACGTTCTGACTTAAGTTCAACGCAATCTTCTTGTTCTTCGTAGCTTGATTTTGGTAAATTTGATTCATCTAATGATTGTGTTAAAGAACGTACATGATATCCTGATAAAGTTGAATCAGGATCACGATTATGACGACATCGACTGTTTGTTGTTGAGGATTCGATTCCGAGAGTTTTGTGACCACGAAATAGTAAAGAGCGAAGTGTTTTTAAACGATTTGATGCTGCTGTCTGCGGCAATATTCGACTCCGATGAGCTAAATGATTTGATATTATTGATGAATCATCAAGACGTATAGATGACTGTGAACGATGACGACGATGCATTGGTGTTGTATAATTTGATGTCGGCGTTTTCGTATCACTACCTGTTGTCGCTGGATCAAGGTACAATTTTTGACACGATGTAGTCGGTTTGGAACGGGTTGGTCTATATACATAATATATACATATACACGATATATAATAATAATAATAATAATAATAATAATAATCATAATCATAATGACAATAATAGTAATATAAGACGATAGAAGATGCAGTTGCGTGCTGTGTCAAAGGAGTAGCGAGTCGATTTGTGCTTACCGAATCGAAAAAATGAACCATATGAGAGCATTGATCATGATCAGAAGAAAGATCACACCAATAACAACACCAATGACAATTAATGTCATATTCGAACGACGAAATGATGACGAATTCGGAAATAAATCTGAATTTTTTAAGCAAAACAAAAGGGAAAAGTTCATTAATTAATCAAAAACAAGTGTTTCGTTTGTTACATCGTTTATAAATGGATTGATTCAAACCGTGTATTGGATGTTGCTGTTTTTGAACACCAGCTAACGACATAGTATCCTAAAGAAAAACCAAAAGGCGAACATTTAATGCCTTGAATGATGCTCACACACTTTATGTTCTTCAAGTGTACCCAGAATTGGAGGAGCTACATCGTGTCCGGATGGAAATCGTTTTATTAAATCATTTGAATGAGTAACAACTAATGGAGGCAATGGTATTTCTTCTCGTTCGCCCCCGTCTTCTTGTCGTTCTTGATCAATAGCAACATTCATTTCATTATTCATATTAGGAGGGTGTGGAGGCTGCTGTTGTGATAAATTTGGACTTGGAAAATTCGCTGATAATGGTGGTCGATTAACAGCAGGAGCAACATAACATTGTAAGCGTACAGTTGCATTATTTGATGCAGGTAAAATAGAATATTTTATTAGAAAGCCACCATGTTTAGCATGAGCTAATGTATAAAAGCGCAGTGTAACATTTTGTTTAACATTACTAACAACAGTTAATGGTTCTTGTGTGAGACATTTGGTTTGAAAATCTTGTCCAAGCCATAGTATAAGACCAGCTTCAGCACATGTTGGCAAACGAAAATCAATAACTTCAAGTACAATAGCATGACCTGACGATGCAAATAATGCACACGGGCAATTAAGACTCGGTGAAAAACCATGTGGATAATTTGGTGTTGATAGAAAACCATATGTTAGAGTTGTATCTTGAGGTTGACAAACATTTTGAAGTGAATACTCTATAGAATGATAACTATGATAACCACGACTCTTATTTTTGATTCATGAGAAAAGATAATTTTATATAATAACATGCATCTGTTTTTCAATATTCTATCATGATAGATTTCGTGATCTGTGCTAATGTGTTTTTTTCTTTCTTTTTATTTAGTTAGTCAAATGTTTGTCGTTTCGTTAGTCTTTTCATAACAAAAACCACCCACAGAGAAATACAAACCTGCGATACATTCAAATTCAGCTTGAACATATGATGCAGCTAGATTCCAACAATCTTGTAATATTAATGGATGTTCAACAACACGAACAGTGCAATTTGTAGTCGTCAAACAGATAATATCTTCACGTGGCACATCCATTGTACAATCTTTTTCAATAAATGAACAATCATTAGACCATGAATAACCGTATATAACACGTCCTAATTTTATCAATTGATTATTTGGACATCCAAGTGAAATTGTACCACTTTTTATTTCATCCAAACAATAACTTTGTTTTGAGTGACCTAATAGATTTCATCAAATTGGTAGAAAAAAGAACAAAACAAACTTTTTCAAAGACCATTTGTTGATACTTACCAACACGAGCAAAAACTAGAGAAGGTAAGTAAAAGACTAGGATCAGAAGCATCATATAAAGAGCTGTTGCTTCTCTAGTCAAATGCACAGAAGTCAATGATAATGTATTTATTGTTGTCTATTCTTTTCGTTGTCTAATTGCACATTTGAACATTGACCAGACATGAGACAAACACCCGTCGGATCAATATTTGTATATCCATCCTTTCCGGTAGTAAATATTGCTTCATCACTGAAGTCGGTTATGGTTTCTTGTCTTCATACATATCATGTTGACATGACGTGCGTAAGCTTAACATTCATTTAGTTTATTCGAGAAAAAAGAAACTTTTTGAAATCTATATTTTGAGAAATAAATAACAGTCAAGAAGAGTCCGACGTATAGTTTTTCATTGTATCCAGTTAATTCAAATAAAAATAAATGTGTTCAAATAGTTGAGATATATTGATTTATATTATAGAAAGAATTTCTTTTTTTTACTGATAGAATTTATTCTGGAAAATTATTATTAAGACTCATAAATAGAATGATAACATGATTGAAACATAATAAAAAACAATCATCTACGATATAAATCTTTTTACTCTTAGGAATAAATTAGATTGATTTCGATTTATGTAAAGATCTTAATTTATTAATTAATATTATGCATAATTTTATGTAATGCTCTTGAATCTTTTCGTTTTTGACATAAATATATTTTACTGTAGATATGAAACTAGAAGGATATCAATTTTTTAATTAGTCGTTAATTTGAACGCCCATATTGCATCGTAATATTGCATTTGTCCGATTAAACGAGACATGTGATGAAAGAAAGTATCTATCGACTTTCTTAATCTTTATATCCACATACGATCTTTACGATAATTTTCGCTTATAATCATACAGTCTGGTAAATACACAGTTTACAATAACAAATAACAAGCAAATGATGAAAAACGAATAGTAGTATCATCAACATTAATATTCGACGTTTGATCAGTTAATGCATTGCAGAATAAGAACGGCAAAGACAAAGACAAATACATATAAGAGAAAGAGACAGAAACCAAAACATTCAACACTAAAAAAAACAAAAAAATCTGTCCATAAAAAAGTTATCAAGAGAAAAGAAAAGAAAATCGAGACCTAAATAAGAAAATGATGTTTATAGAAAGAACAAGGCAAATATAGCGAAAAGAATATCTATCCATTTATTAACTACTCGTTGGATCGCATCCGAGAAAAGAAAACAACTCGTATAAGAAAATTAAGATTGTCTGCTGCGCGCCTATCTATCTGCCAATGATTCTTAATGGTTGCTGTTAACAAGGATAAGTTTGCTTCGATGACCATAACGTATTTATCGTCTTTTTTTTGTCAATATGTTATTCTCGTTTCCTTATTTTCTTTCTTCGTCAGAGCTTAACAATAGTTGATTCTCTTGTTCTCATTCAATTTCCTTCTTGTCGATGCAACGAAGTCAGGTAGGATCATTAACACTGATATTGTATCAGAAACAAGACTCGACTGGCATTTATTTTTGTTTTAGTTTTTATCTATTGATAGAATGATGTTCCCAATCGGCAATTGTTTATGCAAAGAGAAATAAAAAATACATTAAAAAAAAAGAAAATCTCTTGAGAAGGACAATCATGAACCGTTACAACCTGTAGAATACTCCAATAAAGAGAGAGAGAAAAAATAGAGGACATGCTGATGAGAAAAATTATCCCATGAGATAACAAAGAACTTCGAGAAAAAAATATCAATTGCGGAGAGAGAGAGAGAAGTAGCAGCAGGGTTCAGTTTGTCAAACATGATGACAAATATACACATAGGGTCTATGTAGAAGTAGTATGAAAGCGATACAAATGGCGTTAGTTTCCATCATAGTTGACTAAGTATCTAAAGAATTTATCATATCCTAATGAAAAACAGAAACGCAGGTCATGTTAGTCTATCAACCTGATTTGCCCTGTCCACAGACAATCGTCGTATCAGTAACAAGAAAGATGAAAGGACCTTATAATTGTTAGAGTTCTGCCAGTACAAAATAATACACATATATATATATATATATATATGACTTAAACTATTGAGGACTTCCAATTATAAACATGACACGCTTTCTCGATACATATATATATATATATATATGATCGATAATTTAGTATTTTTTTCTTTTTCTTTTTCTTTAACAGCGAGTTCCGAATGACATTAGTTTTAAATTAAGTCGCTTTATTTATTCATATATATGAGACATTTGAAAAAATGGAAACATTATTTACTTTCTTTCTTTTAATCGTTCATTAGTAAATAGAATAAATTTATATACTTAACTTATTTTTCTATAACAAAAGAAACAATAATCAGAAATAATTATAAATCGTTTTTTTCTAGTTTTTTTTCTCCTTTGTACGCATATATCAAGCTATTTGTTTATAACTTTTTACAGTGCTCTCATTTCTCAGATGTCATATTTGATTAAAAGCAATAGTCAGAAGATGAGGAAAGAACAGCATTATACAATGTTAGATCCTCAAGAGGCTCGACAAGTGTATGCGTATTCATATATGACAAATAAAAAACTAACTATTGTCTGTTGTTTTATCACGATAGAATTGAAAGATTGTTATTGTCTACGCTTTTATTTTTACTTTTTTGCTTCATATACATACCGAGACATTTTACTTAAATTAGTAAAAAAAAGCGTGATATAACATCTTTATGTTTAGTTGTGTTTTTTTTGATTTAAGAAATTCGAGACAAACCTTTCTATTTGTCTTTCATTAGATAGGTTTATTCTCTCTAACTTCTTTGTCAAATACAGGCAAGTATTATTAATGGGAAATAAAATTCCAAAAAATCGCTTTGATCAAAGCGTCGTTGACAAATTAATTGAAGATACAGGCTTAGAACGCGAAGTCATTATTGCATGGAGGTAAGTCAAGAAGACCAAATATCAAGGCATAAACTTGACTAAATTATATTTTACTTTTTTTTTCTTCATTAGAAAACAATTTCTATTGGCTTGCCCTTCTGGTAAAATGAATCGCAAAGATTTTTTTAAATTCTATCGTTCATTACGTGTTGAATCAGATGAAAAAGTCAAAGAAATAGCTAATTTTGTTTTTACAGCATTTGATCGAGATTCAAATGGGAAAATCGATTTCACAGAATTTCTTTGTATGTTTATTTTTAAATGCTTTTCTTTCTTTAATAAGATTTCTACTGAATTTCTTTAGGCGGTTATGCTATTACTTCATTAGGTACCATGCGCCAAAAACTTGATTATGTATTTGCACTCTATGATAAAGATAAAAACAATTCAATCGATCGAAAAGAAATGATAAAAGTTATATCGGCTATGTATGATTTATTAGGAAAACCTAAAAAAGATTATCCACCTGAACGTTGCGTTGATGATGTCTTTTCATTAATTGATGTTAATAATGACCATTCTTTAACTAAAGATGAATTTATTGATGGTGTTTTAAAAAATCCTTATCTTTCCGATATCATTTCACCATTTAATGAATAAACATATGTTTACTTTTACTATTCACATAAGAAAAACGTTACGCGTATACACACACACACACACACACACACACATATATATATATATATATACATATACAGCTACTTCGGAAATGATTTGACCCGGCTTATTTTCAGTTTTTTTTTTCGTTGTTGTAAACGCTAATAAAAATCCGAATAGTGATTTACTTATTCAATTTCATTACCAACAGAGCCATCTAATGATGAAAATGATTCTCGATCAATTGAAGATAGAATATCTGATACGTCGTAAATCAAGTTTTTCACCCTTTAAATTTTAAAAATGTTACTCTGATCGAATTATCTAGAATGATAGCTCAAAACAATCTTCACAAAAAACATTGTGTTTCACTATACTAAGGCTTTTTCTAGTTACACTAGGTCAATCTTATGAAAAGCATAAATATGCTGTTTCCCTAGAGAAAAGAATAGTAAAGCAAACTACTATTGCCCTTCTGCGTCAAAACAGTTTGGTAGACAGCTGAAAAATATCATTTTTTTTTATTTTTCGAAAGTTGACTTGGCCTAAAAGCCTAAATAATTTAAACAGAATTACGTTGTTTGGAAATTTAAAAACTTGGAACTATTCAGTTTTATGTTTTTAGTTTTTAAGTGACCCCTATTTTGAGAATAGAACTAAACATCTTCATGTTCAGTGCACAGCAACGAAAAAAGAATTTAAAATAAACTTGATTCAAGAATCTTGACAAGTATTGTCTATATATGTATGTGTGTACATGTGATTGTGCTGTTCGGTCTTTTCTATTCTTGTCAGTGTTTAAATATGTATATATATATATCATTTCATGTTATGTTGCTTCTCCTTTGTTTATATATAAATATATATCTTGCAAAAATAGTAGAAGTAAAAATATCCGTTGGAATCTCTCATGAGAGTAATGACTAAGCATGCCGCAAATTGTATACAAATGACGAATGAGAAGACTTTTTCTATTGCTCTTAATTCGAATAAAAGAGATATAAGATATATTTTCGATTTATGACAAGAATGTTTTCAATAGAAAAATGAGATGATTGTAACTTGATAATATTATTGGCAACAAACAAAATTATGTGAAAAATGACTGCAAATCATAGGAAAAAGAATATTTAGCGGACTATATTTCCCACTAGAGAATGGCCTACAATTTGGCTTCTTTAGAATCAAGGTAGTTTTGGTCCGAAATTGTGTTTATCAAACGCTAATTTGTCTAATTCATTATCGATTGTTTTTGTAAGGCTTAACAAACGGGATTTTGCTTCCGTGTGAATAACAACAACAACAATCATCTGATTCTATTTACATGCCCAAGTGATTACTCATTTATAAAAAAAATAAGAAGGCACTACGAAGTAATCCGACATTCGACGGAATGTTGATCATAAGATTAAAAAAAATCTTTTTATTTCCTAATATTTCTTTTGATCAACAGTAAATCGCTTGGGACAATAATTAAGAATGAATCAATGCTTTTCTCGGGATAACGTATGCTAATATGATTTTTTCTTTAAATGACATTGAATATCAAAATATTCGATGAATGAAGACACGGCATTTGTAATAAATTACTAGTATTGGAACTATTGATACCAGAATTACAAAAAAAGTCAATAGTAAATCGTGTGTCACGAACTGATAAACAGGAGCTTCGTATAAAGAGAAAAAAAAATAAGGAATTCTAAGACACTTTTCGAGAAGAGGTAAATATATGAATTTTTATGTTGTATAAGTGAGAGGGGACGTTGGCATTTTCCGTCGATTGTAAGTTTTGGTTTTAATCAAAATATACAATGTTGGACGAAACAGCTTGAAAATTTTCTAAAAGTAGAAGGCAAATCTGTTAGCAGCCAGCTGTCAATTACAGCCCTCATGATAAAAGATAAGCGAGAGAAAAAGAGTTAAGAATATTTATTTAAAAAATATGTTTGCTTTATTAAAGAAAAAAGAACGTCAGCCATTACGATAAGTAACACACACTCAACTTTTTTTTTTTTGATATACTTTAACAATATGATTGATAATCGTAAATATTGAATTATTAAGAATGAAACTAATCGTAAAATATAGACCTTATTTTAGGTGGATCTAGAAGAATATTATCATTTTCATTTTGTTTTATAATCAGTTGTATAGTGATTATAGTTATGGTAAAACGGTCCGATAAAACTGATACCACAATATATAATACTGATTCTAGTTTATTATCGACCAATTGTAAACATGTTTCAATCGATGAATTAGATCGATGGTTTCATTCGAAGAACTGGAATGAAATTCCAAAAATTATTCATCAAACATGGAAAAATAAAACATTACGTCAACGACAAGCAAGCTGGAGTCAAACATGGTGTGACCAATATACAAATTGGTATTATCATTTATGGACTGATGATGAAAACGATTTATTTGTTCGAACGAAATTTCCATGGTTTTATCCAACATATAATAAATTATCACCAGCTATTCTTCGAGTGGATAGCGTACGTTATTTATATATGCTCTATTATGGTGGACTTTATGTAATATATTGATTTATGTTCTTATACAAAAAAAAGAAAAATATTTTTTTTTACAGATCGATTTAGATTATGAGTCTGTTCGTCGGATTGATGCATTATTTACCAATAAATCTGTTGTGCTTTCTTTAATAAATTACTCGTTTAATTCGATGAATAGTGTACCAAATTCATGGATGGCTTCACGACCTAATCATCCATTATGGACATATATTTTACATCGAATTATGTTATTATGGTCTCGTGTATCAGATAAAGAACGAAACGAGTTTTGGAATGGCAAAGCAGAATTTTTCACTGGACCACAATCACTTTTTGAAGGTTTAATGTTTTATTTACATACGATTCAACATACAGATCAAACGCTTGATCAACTGCTTGGAAATCAACAAAATCAAAACGCAGATTCTATTTTAGAAGTGGCTAATATAACTTTTTTAGGGCCAAAACTAAATAATGCATATGATTGGATGAATGGCATTGGTGCCGATGTATGTTCAGCAGAAAAGGTTACATTTGATGAAAAGAAATGTCAAGATATTGTTAAACCAATTTACGCTATTACTTATTGGTCACATTCATATGGACATGGACATGAAAATGATTTAAACTATTTGGGAGATCAAAAAAAAACTCGTTAAGATTTTGTTAAGTTTATAGTTTTTTTTAAATATTTATATTTAATAGAAAAATTTTATTGATTTTATATTTTTTCCTCTGAAGAATATTATTCTTTCACTGATAATATAATCAAAGAAAAGTTACCAGTTTGAATCTATCGATCATCATAAACTTGAGGGTAACATTATATGAAATATGTTGACAGACATTAAATCTAAAACATAATATTAGTTACACATAATTTCTCTATTAATAAAAATTATTATTTCTATATAGATGATGATGATGATGGCAACTATTTTTACTGTATGCCGATGAGAAAATTCTGAAGTCATATTTCATTATCCTTGAGAAATATCTTTCTATATGAAAAACTAATTAAATTGGAGAAGCGTACTTTTCTTAAATAATAACTCATGTTAAAAGACGATTTAAGATTTAAGTATACTATCTAAAGAAAAATAAATTCTAGTAGTTGCGTGATAATTCTATTGCAATGAGGAAAACTTTCAGATTTCAATTCAATCATTGATTTACATAGATGTATGAAGATGAAAATAACATCTTCACACGCTTTACCACAATCTAGCTTTACAAAGAAAAACAAAAATCATCGAAGAAGACGAAATATCTATAATTTCATTTTCTTCAGTACCCTTGAGACTTTCCATGGAACATGAAGGAGACCTTAATTACTTGCATACATCAATTTTTCTATGTCAACATTTGCTTTGCTCTAGTGATTATTGTTGACATGACATTTAAGATTACGTATGAAAAAAAAAGAATTCTTTGGAGTATATTAAAAACAAAAAAGTGCTAAATTAGTTCTATTTACTAGTACATAACTGGCCACCTTTTTTCTATATTGATATTATATTCACACTCTCAAGAAAACTGCGAAATAAGTATTAATCATTTCTTTTAAATATCACATAACATAATCATTAATCTTCAGCCATCTATTTACTATACAATACTTCCCATTTATAACGTTGATGACAGTACTCAATAATGGCAAGCATTATTATGAAGACACAATATATATATATATATATACTCATAATGAAGAAAATTATCTTTCCAATGGAAAACGACACACAAAGAAGAGATAATCAATAGCGGTAGCACCTAAAAATACATCGTAACTCATGTCTAGAAGATAAAGTATCATTAGTTTTCGCTATGTTTTGTATTTTATGTTCGTATTGTGTATATTAATTACTCATGATAAACTTTCACGAAAAATCATATGGTCAGTCATATACATTATAGTGAGCTAATTTTCTATATTTTACATACGATAGATCATGCATTAGCTATGCCAATAGAAGATACATGATTTGGTAAGCAACTTTTTCTAGACATCACATTTATCTGACTGATTAAGAATTTTTATGGCACACTTAGTATCCAGAGATAAGCAGACGTATTGATAACATCTAATATAAGTATGTGGAAAAACAAGACGGATGGTTCGAATCCCAACAAAATTACCTTGCCAAACTTAAAGATGCATTATTACAATCACTTCCGGCACATGCATAAGAACTCTTAAGATGCATGCAAACATATAAAAGTACTGACAGTGAAATTGTTTCAGTTATTTATCAAACTATTACTAACATAAAACGAAAGAATGCACAACTTGAACGGCGGCTATTTAAATCATCGAGTTGATTCCTCATCATTTAATGATGAAAATGTGACGATAGGAACGTCTTAATAATATCCATGGCTTCTCTACTATGATTAATAAAAAGAAAAGGATAATCTATTGGGAAGCCGTGTTGACGAACATGCATGAATGAATTGATTCTAAAACCAATGATGCCTATCATACTAACTCAATCAATTATCTATTGAAAACCTTCCATCATCAAAGCATGTCTTTGCCGTCGTAAATATATTTATCAATGTTCCATATTCATTAGTGTATCTGTCAGATAGATAATTTCTACTCGATCAATTTTAATGTTGGCATCAAATTTATCAGCATGCGATCAAAAATTTCAATAAACCAATAATAACATCTTTCGGTAACAAAAAAGAAGAAAAAAAGAAGTTTTAGTAATTCATCTAACCTGTGCACAGACTCACGCTTGCCAATAAATAATTGGAGTTCATGCGATACAATCAGTTTTGTTGTTTCTATATATAAATGGTAAAACAGCGATGACTGCATGAATATCAATGATGGATATTTCGTAAATTTCGGTTTTTACATATTTATAAGATTGATAGTCACTAAAACCAAACTTGAACAAATACTCGATGAAGTGCTACTATTGTGATTAATTAATCAATGTCAAACAGGGATTTAATAGATTTTTGATTGATTTCTTTTTCTATTTTTAAAATATCTCTCTGTGAATTCTAATGCATTTAAAAAAATGATAGAAATCATACTCATCAAAAATAGGAAATATATAAATTTTATCGACACCAGGAACTGATATTTCCATCTATTTATAGAATCATAATCTAAATATACGTATGAAGACCTTTTTTGCACTATTATTATCGCTGAGAATACCAGACAACACATTTTACTTGATAGACAACTGTGCATGACAATATCAAGACCAAAGGCAGATGGATTTAGGCTAATATAAATAACATGACCTATACTAGTTGTAAGACAACGGTCTATTAAGTAAAATGTAAATAGATCGAAATATATCAGAGTCGAATCAGAGGAAACTTTATTTATTCTCTATTCTAATTGTAGTTATATGATAGATATATATATATATATATATTGTTTACTTTATTTAAGTAAATTCATATTTTCTTATGATTTTAACTAAACTGTATTGAATTTCAAATGCAGTTTTATTCATTTATATTGATATTTTTGAATTTTTAAAGTTCTAAATTGTCAAATGATGTCATTATGAATTCATTCGATCTCTAGCCAAGTGTGCACTCAAGTCTAGTGTCACAAGATTAATCTATCCAAAAGTATAGTGATTGTTTTTTATGTAATAAAGTCACCTTATTACCAGGCACCGTTTTCAATACATATATCGAAATATATATAGTTTTCACCACTGATCTTATTTCAATTCATATTTGATCAAGTTCATGCCCTCATCATAGCTAATATATTATTGTCACAACGGGTAATAGGATCTGCTATTTCAGCCAACGAATATTAATCTTCATCAACAAGAAACGCAGTTGTCCTACCACTTTGTTCTGTATTATACAAGTGAACAGTTTTCATTGAATCATAACTTAGTATGAAACACTTTTCTATTTTTTTTCCAAAATTAGATCTATTTCATTATGAATACACTAAACTCAAATGGTGACTTTCTGAATAACATGCATAAATAATGTGAATAATAAAGGTGAACACTATTTACAAACACATGAGGAACAAGCTGTTATCATAAATTGTATGGGAATCTTTATTGAACAGGATTTGTTACTGAAGAAAGAAAAAGTCTACCATTGAATAAATTTTTTAGTACAAAAAATTTCAATACCATTGTCGTACGATGTCTGGCGATTATATGAAACATTCGTCGACGAATGATAGCAGTATATCTTTGGATAAAACTTCTTATTTATTTGATACAGAAAAATTTTTAATATAAGAAAATCAAACCATGAAAAATATTTTATCTATCAGAATTCAATAGACGCTAAATTTATTCTCTCGTGCATTTGCAATGGCCTACAGTTTTTTATTACGAATGTCTTGATTCCGTTTCTGGGAACCAGAAAGTGAAGCACGGAATAGAATGAACGTTTTGAAAAACGACCATTACGTCTAATTTCAAATATTCATCAAAATATTCAAGCTTCACTCTACTCAATTGCTAGTAACATTATATTTTACTTGGTTGTTTATTATTTTTTGTCATAGAATATAAAGAAATTTATTAATCAGTCAATATACTGTATCAATATAAGTTTTTTTTCTTTCGTGCTGAACTTCACTGTGCTCAACTTTCACGAATCTGCTTTTTCAGTTGAGTCATTTTCCTGCAATTTTCACAACTATGCTTATCAAATGGGCTATGACACATCTAAAATTTCAAGTAATATTATACTAATAGAAGAACTCTATGGAGCACAGAATCTGTTATTTTCCTGGTGCAACTATGTTCCATAATTTCGAAAATGTCATTCTTCTAAAAAAAAATGAGTTCATCGAAAATATATTTTAAATATTAAAGCGCAATAAATTTATAATGCAAAAAGTGTAAATTTTCTCAAAACTTAGGTTTGACAATAAATCACTATCTAGCAACAATCCTAGATGAACACGGTGTACTCTTATGAATGCAATTGTATGATTAAAAATATAGACTGAACTTGCATCTATGGGGAAATAGTGTACTCCTTATATCTCACATGTTTTCATTATACTCCTATGCTCTTTCTGTACTTCTAGTATTTCAACTATACTTTCATTGTGCTCTCGGAGATCGATTTACTTTACTTTTTTTTTAAATGCACATTTAAACCATTGTGTAACTATTTCTAATAACGAGTTTGCTCTCTTTCCATATCTTTTTAAAGCAAAAATATATCAGAGATTATAATTTAATCATGTTATTGTAATTCCTGTTGGTTTTATACGTTATTCTGATCGCAATTATATGAAATCAGAAATAGTAATTTAGTTTACATAGAATATTATGATAAATATCGAGGATATTATGAATCGAATGATGACTTTTTCTGTTCGAAACACATTACGGAAATTATCCTTCTTCACTAAGTATGATAACGGTACTTTTATGATTATAGTAATGTTCAAAAAAGAATATTATCGTTTATTGATCAAGAAAATATTGACATATCGGAAAAAAAAGATGAGTTTCATCAAACAAGTAAATAATTGTATGTTGAAACACGTGTTAGTTTTTGGTCTTAATTGAACATTAAGTACTTTTTTATCTTGAAATCTTGGTAAATATACACTATACACTTATGTAAATGCCGAATGAAGATCAAAATATTTAATAGTAAAATACGAGCAACATGAGTTGCTATTATGATCATGAAGTTCTTCTCCTTTCATAAAGTAAGTAAAATTTTAGAAAAATTTCACAATAAAATCTACAAGTAGAGAAATATCGAATTTTTACAATTTTCTCTTTATCAATCAATATTTCCATCGTATATAGCATTTGACAAGACTCTGAGAACGAACGTATCATTAATCTTCAGATGAAAGAGTGTGTAAATGATTTCAAACGTTTCTCATCTATTCGCATAGAATTGTCAAAGATGTTTTTTGTATTTTCTAATTAAAGTTTATTGATTTTCTGTTCTATTAAATCACATCTTTTTTGTTATTTTGCATACAAAAAATCTAAAGAAGTGTGTAAATCAACAGTAACTACAATCTTTTGAAATAACTAATGCAGATCATACTAGAGCTACTTGATTGCTTTGTAGCAAAGTTTACAGATAAATGCTGTTGCTCTAGGTACTAGATTTTAATATAAATAATTCAGCTATATAATTCAACTATCAAGCGATAAGGAATTTTTTTTAAACTGCTCTTTCTTCACATTCAGGTACTAACATTTACATACGTTTTATAATTATATCTATATTTCATGAGTCCAGTAGAGTTTTGTATTCTTTAAATTACTTTTCGATAAAAGAAAGAAAATTATTATCAACTGCAATTCAATATAATATATGTATGTTAATCGTCCTCTTACTTGCCTATCTCTTCAAATTATTAATAAATTGACTAGAAATAATCTCCACTTCGCATGAGTTTTGTGAAAATGATTTAGATTTATAAATAAACTTAATCACATCTACATAAATTATAGTCTGCACAAAGAATCAATCCAATGTTTATTACAAATGCATATATTCTTCGACATTTAAAATGAACGTGTTCTCCAAGAATATAGTACCTTGTCAATGAAGTTTTTTTTCCAATGAATACGATCATATTCATTTTTTTTAAAGTACACGAGTCAAAATGAATTTAATTGATCGATTAAAAAAAACATCTTCTTCATTGTAAACAATCAAAAACACTATTTATAACATTTTAAATAGATAATTTCATTTTTCTCAAGCACAAAGAATAATAACAATAATAATGAAAATAACAAAAAAATTTGTTAAGCTATTTAAACATTTGAGATATTATTTATTCAATATCTTTTGCAAGGCCTTCAATTAATGAATCGAGTGATTTTGAATATTTACATCCCAAACACCGCATATTGACATAACATTCTAAAATATAAAAAAATTAAACTTTCTTCTCATCTAATATACGAGTAATATCTACTAACGAGCTAAACATAATAAACGATCTTCATCGTATTTATCCCAATATTTTTCAATAAAATGCTTCCGTAAGTCCCATTGATTTTTACTTTCAGTTGGTAATCGATATTTTTTTTCCAAATCCTCCTTTGTATCTTTTTCATCATTTTTCTTCGGTATTGTATCCATTGAAAATTCAGAAGAATAGGAATAATTATCTGAAATAAATATCTGTCTGTTTCCATTTTAGCTCGTAAGTCTATTTCTATTCATCAAAGAAAAAAAAAAGAAGCAAAAGATGAGAGGACTCAAGAAACGTTATGTACACGCACACACCAAAAGATGACTAGTTCCTGAGAGAATAAAGGCACAAAATAGATCGACACAAACAAAACACTAGAGCACAACAAGAAAAATATATTAAGACCGAAAAAAACAAACAAAGCGGTTTATCTATTTCTTTTCTTCTTAATTTTTCGACTAGAGAAAACAAATAATTTTTGTGAATATTTGATGACTAAAGAATAAATAATAATCTGAGAAAATCAATTATTGTCTGATTGACGCAAAGCATCGTATTCAGCTTTTAAAGCATCACGTGTTGCTCTTAATTCCATTAGCTGTTCAGGTGTCGGGACCTAATCAAAAAATAATAGTTAAATAAATTATTTATTTTACAAAATATAAACAAATTATTTCTTACATGAACACCAAGATCACGACAAATGATACTTAGTGGATTATCATGCCATTCGTTTTGATTATACATTCGTTGCAAACTATTCAATATAGTTTGGCGAACATCAGATGCTTTTGTTTGAAAGTATTCATCTACTTTATCTAATTCAGTTTCAAACGAATGAATAAATGCTGGCTGTTGAAATATAGTGGCATTATTATTATTATCAATTGAAATAATTTTTTCATCATTTATTTGATGATCTTCATTCAGAAATTTAAAAAATTTTAAATAAAAAATTGTTTCAATATTCTTTTTACCACAATTTGAAAGTGAAGAATTTGGTGATGAATTTGATGATGTTGGCGATAGAGCTGCAGACATGGATAATAATAAACTGAAATTGAAAAAAAAGAATCTTATAGAATATTCGATGTGTAATTTTGAAGAAAAAGAAAATGATCGTGTTAACAACATATACGAAATATATAAACAAATTAAAATCTATTTGATTCGATAGTGGGTAAATCCATATATTATATACAAGTGAAATTAGAGAGCAGAATTCATATCAACTAGTGTCACCTATGATTAAATTATATTATTATTTGAAAACAAGTTTCAATTTTATAAAACTATATCCGACTCATTCATTTATTGTCTAAAAAACGTCAGTTATATTCTTCGGAACAATTTCGATTGAAGTTTATAGCTATATATCTATATGTATATAGGATCTTATTTGAATATCTTACAAAGAACAAAACAAAACGAAATCGGTTGATCCTCTTATTTTAATTAAAATGATTATTTTTTTATTCTGTTATTGTAATATGAGATTGCCGACGACAACTATCTGCTTGCTTTCAACATTATTCTTAAATCATCATCATCATCATGCGCATTTGCCTAAGAAGAAACAATAATGAAGTGTGATGCTGATCATATTTAATATAATAGAAAAAAAAAGGAAGAGACGCGCATTACTCCAAGGGAAATTGTGAAATAAACTGCACTGCTAATAAGATGCACAAGAGTTGCATCATACTTTTCGTTGAATCCCAATAGTATAAAATCATGTTCTGACTTTCATCACCGAGACACATGACCATCACTTGCATGCATGATTTAGCGTGACAAAAAAAACTGACGATGACGACAACGACAAGTGCCGGATGTTTCTTCTTCTGTATAATACAACTAAAGTAATAGCTGATTCTCAATGATAATTTGAAGCAAAACAGAATCTACTATGTTAATCAAAAATTAACTGCACATAGAATCATGATTTATATCAGACTTTTTCTAGTATTTTTTTTATTTTAATATTCTATGTTGTTAATCTTAAAAATACAAGAAAACGTATATAGACATAGAATCATTGTACAGATGGATGGAACAGTTGTGTGTCGGGAAAGTCGGAATGATGATTAGCTTGTTCTTTGTCTAAACAACTTGCAAATAAAAGATGAAGAAGAAGAGACTATCGTTGTGGGAAGTCGTCAATTGAGTAGAGACCATGCTGAGTATATACATGTGCCGCATGTGGTCAAGTCGAGGAAAATATTCTGTTCAAATCATACCCTTATGTGAACTGTTCGTTTCGATCATCGTCACTTTTCATCTTTTACCTTGCAATACGATAATTGATCATGGTCTTCAAAGTACATAATGACGACGTACTTTTCTTTCTCATGTTCGATGTCTTTCTTTTTTTTTCTCTTGTGCGTAAGTAGCCAGCCGATTGATACAAATCAACGTAGAATGGACAGAAAGGAAATTAGATAGTCTGACAGGCAATAAAACAAGACCCACGCAATATCAGTCCGACATGTTTTCTCCATTACATTTTGTTCTTTCTCATGAACTGCTCATTTCAGATCCATTCATAGTCTCTTTGTTAGAGCGATGATAAATCAAGTGATGACGAATTGGTCAAGATAGATATAGTTATAGACAATGAGAAGAAGAAGAAGAATCAAAAGAAGGTTCTTCTTTTTTTGCCACAACGTCAATAGTCAGCAAAGAGCAACCCTATACGACCAATTAGTCTTTCATTCAAGCGTTTTCGCTCTTCTTTCCAATATTCTTGACACAAGCTCGTTATCATTACCACCAAACAAGTGTCCGTAGTGGGTGTGTGTGTGTGCGTGGACGCTCGAGGCCACTGTCAAGTGGAATAGGGGGAACAGCTCGTTTATACTCTCTGACTAAATTAGTAACCGAGTATTGCACATATATACATCTATATGCATCATGTGATTGATCAATATTAAAAGCGAAAAGATATCGTATACCATCTTACAAAGAATCCAACGGTAATATGTTTATGTGTACACAGGAGTTTTAGGGATCGATGTTAATGTGTTGGTTAGTCTCTCTCTCTCTCTCTCTCTCTCTCTCTCTTCTTTTCTTTTTCTTTTGTTTTGTGTTCATTCATACGAACACACAAATGTATATATAGCTATATATATATACAAAACAAAGAAAATAGTAGTGCAACTTGCACAATGGACGTTCTTGTATTTTTGTCTTTAAGAAAGAAATGGAAATTCAATTGGTATATATACAACAAGACTACCATAACTGATCAATAAATTTTTTTTTCATCGATTTTTTTGTTCTCTCATTCTTATTCAACAGGGAGATTCTCTCTTGCTTTGTTCTCACAATAGTAAGTAGTAGTAGTGGTAGTTCATCTCGTAAGCGAATGAACAAGAATGAGCAGAAAAAAACCATAAGGACATTTAAGGATAGAAGAGAGACTGCTTGCATAATCGTTGAATTTGAAGGATTAATACGTGCGAGAAGCGAATAAATATAGGCATTGTTCATATACATGCATATACTCATTCAGTTTTATGGTAGGTGAATAGTGACCACTTTGAGATTCCTTCAACCGACATTGAGAACTTTGATTAAAACAATAAAAAAAAGTTATGTATTACTATTCGACGATATATAAGATACAAATACCGGCGCCGCATACCCGTCGATTGAGTCAGTGCATCATCATCATCATCATCATCATTCTCGTTGTCGTCGTCTGACTCATCAATTTACAGTTCATTAGCGTTCGAGCTAGTGAATATGAAGAAAGATGATGAAGCAAATGATAACAATGAGCCAATTATTTGGTTGTCTGTCTGTTTCTCTTTTCTTCCTCTTTCTCGTACTCTTATGCCTTCTCTCTTTGTCTCTGCTCCTCTCATTCTCATAAAACACATCGTAGAGAAAGTGGACGAAGGAAAAGAAAGGTGAAATTTTTCTTCTTATGAATGTTTGTGTCAGATGAATGGTTCATCGATAATGTGCTGTTGCCAGAAGCAGATCATTACTAACATCCGTCATTGCTAGCTACAGGTGAGTTATTGACAGTGATCTCTATTCCCGTTTCGCCTGCTTCTTCACATAACCCTCAGTCAAAAAAGAAATCTTCTCTCACTTTAATATTTTCTTTTTTAGTATAGTGATGTTGATGTTTTATTGTACGCGTGCATGGATACACATTAACTGCAGATGATCGACGAGAAGTAGGCGGAGATGACGTATCACACACCCACATCAACTTACTATCCTATGAAAATATATGCGATGAAAATTGGAAAAAAATAAGTTCATTCATTCATTTTGATCATGTCATGAGACAGACATATGATCTTCTTACTTATATCCTAACGTATTCAAGGTTATAAAAAAAAAGAAAAGAAATATAGACGAAAGACCACTAATCTTCCGTTTATATATATATATAGCTATGTATGCACGATCCCCATAGGGTCTAATATATAAGAAGCAAAATTCGTATTATGAATAAAAAGAAAAAATAGAGTAGATGCTGCAAACGCCAACGATAGTATAGCGTGTAAGAGGTGTTAAAATTAGCTTGTGGCTATTCTACGTTCATCTATACATGAATATATGCAAGCAAACATGCGTGAATAGATAAAGAAGATCAAGTCTCTTTTACTTCGATGTCGTTTTTTTCTCTTTTACTTTTAGATGTACAATCATTTTTACACATTGAGGAAATGATTATCCGTCGTCTTTTGACGACACTGTTCTTAACCGTTTTGCACACAATGACAAGTAGTTTAAGTGATGATTCACATCTATCTCGAGATTATATCAATGTCAATGTGGGCAAACGGGTACGAATGGAATGCGAACTTAGCAATGCAACGATTTCTGGTAATATGAAAGTAAGTTCAATTGTCAATGACATTCTTATTTTTTTTCACCTGTCGTCAAATGTCTAATGATCATTGACATTCGAGAGAAAGAATACAGAAGAAAAAAAAGAACTTTCATTTGATTATAATCAAACTTAATGAGCCCTATTCTTTTTATTTTAGGGTCTATGGCTGCGTTTAGAAGATGCCGAAGTATTTTTCTATTCAACAAGTCGAATTAATTCAGATCAACGTTTTCAAATTGAACAACGTCCTATTCTTCATATTATTAATGGTACATCATCATACGAAGTAATGACTTATTCATTGACAATTGATGATGTACGTTTATCCGATGATGGGACGTATTCATGTCAAGAAGACAATAGAATTGTCAAACTATTCGTTTTAAACATTGTTGGTAAGCATGATCATCATGTGTTTATGACATCCAAATATTACATTCGATTGCATCATCAGTTTTTTTTCAAATATAAATAGAGAATATCGCGAAAAGAACAGGAATTAAAATGAGACGATGATTAGGTGCCGATTTTTTTTCTATTTCTTAGTATGACTGAAGATAGAATAGGAAAGAAATAAGAAAATTAAAAAAAAGTCTAAATTTATTCATTCGTTATGTTTTTCCTTTTTTTTAAGTAGATACTAGACATACGTTTCTTTTTCTTTTTTTAATTTGATTTGATTAGAACGACCGTATTTTGTCACTGATGAATCTACAACATTGTTACGTACACAAATCGGAAAAAATGTGTCTATTGCATGTGAAGCACATGGCAAACCAAGTCCATTTCTCAGATGGATAAAAAAGATCGATGGTATAGATTAGAAACAAAAAGACTTTTCTTTTTTTTTGTTTTTATTCTTCTATTGTTTTTCTTTCATTAGACGATCAACCAAAAACGATGATCAATTGTACAACTACGCCTACCACCTGTCAATTGAATCTCTATCATGTTAATCGTTGGCATAATGGTATATATGAATGTGTAGCAACTAATACCATCGGTACAATAGGTCGATTCTATACACTTGATGTACAATGTGAGTTTTTTTCTTCTAAAGAAATGAACAACAAAAAAGCATTAAACCTTGTTTATTTCCTGATATTTCATTTTGATTAGTTCCGCCAGATGTTTATAGTCCAAAAGTAAAATCTTTTCATTCAATTGACGATACAATTACATTCGAATGTTCGATTGATGCTAATCCGGAACCGGATATACGGTGGTTGCATCGATTCACCAATGATATGAATCAAGAAGTGGACTTATCCCATCAATTTAACCAAGGATTCTATAATCATAATAGCAGAAGAGAAGGTTCATTACTATCGATTACTAAAGAAAAAATCAATGCGACTAGGTGGAAAACCATGCTTTTTATTCGAGTAAATGAACGATTCACTTCAGAAGAGAGAAAAAAATCTATCTATCTATCTATATATTTCCTGTTGTTCTGCTCTTTTAGCGTATTCCAAATCATTTTTTTAATTCAAATTTTGTTTGTCGTGCGACCAATCGCTATGGTCAAGATGAACGATCGATAACAGTTATGCAAAATCATCATCATCATGTTTCTAAAAAACATCGTCATACAACTACAACAACATCAACAGTATCAACAAAAATGTCAACGATATTTGATCTATATGGAGCATATGACGAAGAAAAATATCAATCATCAAGTACACCACGTAAGTAGTATCATATTTATAACTAATTAAAATTATTTATTTATCTATTTAGATTTTTTATCACAAGAGACGATTGATACCACTAGTCGATCAAAACGACTTTCTCCATATTTATTCTATTCATTTATTATAGGATTATATTCGTTTGTACAATGATAATATACTTATATTTCTATATCTTTTTGCGCTGTCTCTTTTTTTAATCTCCGTCCGTGGTCCATCGAAAAAATTATCAGTATTATATTTGTGTTTTTTTTTCTTTTTTGTCTTGTATCTTTTTTATTTGTTCTTAATAATTGCAGAAGAAAAATAATTGATAATTGACAAAAGAAAATAAACATATGTATAAAATTATAATATTCTTTCTTCATAATTAATACAATAGAAATAATAGCTGTGACTGGAGTGCTATTTAGTTATGATACATATTGCGAAAAATCATTTTATGATAAGTTATGCTAACAATTATTCTTGTAATCTTACTTATAATTAAACGAAATCTACTTAATAAAATAATATTAAGTACAGATGTCTCAGTTGCTTGATGATGCAAGCAATAAATAACTAACAAAGAGCTGCGACATTGAGTTAGATACTGTAGAAGAGATGTAATAACATCCAAGTGTTTAATACAAGGCTTTTATTTTTGGTAGAATGTGTTTCTCTTATTAATAACGAAGGATTTTACATATATTATCTTGTTCTCAATTGAGCATTCATCCACTAAGACGCTCGGAATTGGCATATATATATATATATACTATATTCATATCAGTTTTTATGCAGATTTTTGCTTCCGGAGGGGTGAACACTTATTTTTCGGAAAACATATATATGCATTTTATCGTAAAATAACCACATAATCTGCGACGGATAACTCAATGCTCGAAGAAGTACCGCCTTCTCAGTTTCCTATAATACTACTTAAAACACTGAATTATAAAATTGGTGATAGTCGAGGATTCAAATCAAATGTTCTAAGTATTCAGATTTTATATTTAAATATTAAATCTAAACATAGATATTATTGGGCAGTGACTTCAATTTTGTTTTTGTAACTCTATCAGTGTGATTGATAATTAATTATTTTTCTATGAATAAATCGAATCGTTCCGATGAATGAAATTTCTGTACTTTTTGACATTGATTTAACATAATTTTCAATCTATCTATGTCATTAGAAATAGGCAAAAGTTATTGAAATGAAATAAATCATAGCTAATAATGTGTACTGATCAAGGTTGACATATTGAATATAATGAGAATTTGATCGTTGCTGGATATTGAAAAAGAAATATTACAATGATGACTAAAATTCACGTTCAATTATAAAAATTCAAGTATAACTTCAAACTAATGGACGAACATGAATTTATTGTTTTCTTACTGTTAATCTAGTAAAACTAACTAATATACATATATTTAAATAGATTAATATGTAAATATCTATCAAATTAACTCGTCTTAAAATATATAGCATATATTTGAAGCTCTGCACATTTTTAAGAAAGAACACCAGTTTTCATTAGATTTACCTAAGATGTGATGAGTATATGAAAGAATAGTTCCTAATATTATTTTTAGCACGTCAATTTTTCGAAATAATCTTCAATGGTTAGCTTTTGCAATATATTTTCTTGTATTTTTTTAAAACAAGTAGCAAAAATTTGCTTGTGCATTCTACAATCATTGATGGAAGTTTATTTCAATCGGCTGTTCCTTTTGTTTTTAAATCACATATGTTGCCACAATATTGATAGGGTCGATGTATTTCAATTGAATTCTTTCATAACAATATAAAAAGACAATTCTATAAATAGACGAGTTTTTATCAGAATTGATTGTGGTATTGAACTCGCCATCGTTATTTTCCGCATAAAGAAAAAGAGAAGATCCTAAAAGAATAAAAATCCACAGAGAAAGTTCGACTGTCATTTTGATGAATATCTTCTTGACATGCAATATTTCAGAGCTGACAATTCGATAGAGTTGCTTTTAATATATTGTTTAATTTGAACTTAGTTGATTCGAAATTTTTTTTTTCAATTGAAGGTAGATCGTCCTTTTTTCACCAAATAATAACATGATGACAATAAAGAAAATCATTGAAAATTAATAAAAAGGTTCACTGGAACAAGTACGAAACGCTATGTGCACCATTCTATCCATTTTCTATAAATTATAGCAGAAAAAAACAGAAGTAAGTGATTTCTATTATTTAAAGACAAGACGTATTAAGAGTACACTGTTTGCTTAAAACATACGCGTTTCTTGTATAAACTAATACAATAAATGTACAAAGGCAAAAAAATAATAAACTGTTAAATTGACAGACGAACAACACTGAAAGGAGAAGTTAAATATTTTTATTTTCAATTAGTAAAAGAAAAATAAAAGATATCAATACACATCTGACTAGATGTTTTCTTCCTTTCACTTCAATTATGTACTACTTCCACTACGTCGATTATTGTTTTCATTATTCATATCCAAATCATATCCACATGCTTGTCGTATCCACGACGAAACTTCTTGATTATCACTTTCAGCTTCGTATCGTTTATAAAATGGATGATGCTAAGAACAAGAGAAAAAACAAACAATAATTCTAAGAATAAATTCTTTTAAAAAAGAAAACAAAGAAGTTGCAATTTTTTAAAAAATCATACCAAAAGTGTATTTAAATCGGCTCTTTCAGAGGTACTCTTTTTCAAACTAAAATAACTTATGATAAATAAGATTAAAATATAAATAAATAAACTGACCAACGATCAACAAAATCACAAAATTCTGATGAAAAATGTGACCGTGGTAAACTTGGTGGTGCTTCATTAACGATCCATTCCATTAATTCAAATATTGCTAAGCCTTTATAGCATCCAAATCCTAAATATCGTAAAATTCATTAGAAAAAAATTAGTTGTAATCAACAATTTAAAATAACCTTCTGGTCGGGGTCGATTTCCCAATGGGTCTTCTTTAATTAAATTATCAATATCTTGTGTTGATGGTGGCGGAATTGGATATCGACCAACAGCCATTTCGACCAGTGAAAGTCCTAATGACCATATGTCACTCATTATTCCATAGTGCGCACCTTCAAGTCTTTCAGGCTTTGAGAGGAAAAACAAATATACGCATATATATATACATAGATAGATAATATTCAATTAAAAATACAATATTCTTACAGACATATAAGAACGAGTACCAATGAATGTATGCAATGTTGAATCAATTAATTGTGCACTAACACCGAAATCACATAGTTTTATTTCACCTATTAATATTTTTATATTAATAAGAAAATATTAGAAAGAAAACTAATATTACCTTGAAAATTCACAAGAATATTCGATGGTTTAATATCTAAATTAATAAATAGCAAAATAACAATTCAGGCAAAACAAAAAATAAAATCTACCTCGATGCATGATACGATGTCGTTCTCGTAAATAACTTAAGCCACGAAGAACCTAAGGAAAAAAAAATATATATATATGAATTTTATTGTTTGAATGATAATTTTCAACTTACAGCAACAGTAATCTTGCCAAGAATATGTTCTGGAATTCGCATAACCTTTTTCAATATCAAATCTAATGAGCCACCATCCTAAAATTCATAGATACTAAACATTTAAGCTGAGATCGATAGACAGATAGATAGATATTCAAGTCTAACATATCGTACTATTACTATTTATCAGTTAAAGTAAAAATTCATGACAAAACCTAAGCTCTTTTTAGTTTTAGTTTTGATAAAATGATAGGATGTTCATTAAATTACTAATTTTCATCAACGATATCTTATTTGAATACTTCAAACGAGATGCATTACAAAATTACATTATGATCAACGATAGTTAATTAACGTTAATATGAATTGATGTCTTTTTAAATTTCCTAAAAGAAATGATTGTTTTCTCCTATTCTACTAATGAGCAACCTTGAACATTGAAATAGAAACATAAATTCTTTTTTCCTCATGCACCCATGCCTCATTATTAAGCGCAACAGATGCACAATTGCGTTTCCTATCTACACAACCTCATGTAATAATCCTGAATGTTGTTAGCTGTCATACTCTTATTGGAATCCTCTATAATTATTTCTATCAATATATAAAAATTGCTTATCATTTACATTCGATGAATAGCAATGTATTGTGTGCTACGCTAGAAAATGATTGATCACAATCGTGATTAACCAAAGTATCATATAAATTGAGTTTGTATTCATCATTCGTATTCTAATCCAACGTTCATGAATTGACTAATTCTCTTCGACATTCTTTCTACTTTGTCAGTCTATCATAGTATATAATGATTTAACAAAAGAAGTAGTTTGTAAAACCGATGTTCACACGAATAAGATTTTCGTCATCCGACGAAATAACAAAATTTGTTTATATAATTCTCTCCTCTTTATATTTACCATGTATTCCATACAAATACTAATTTGAGCTTCAACAGCAAATGCTCCATAAAACCCAACAATATATGGTGAATTACATTGATGCAATACCTAAACAATAATAAAGAAAGATTTTACTAAACAAAGTAATAATAATAATAATAATAAACTCGTTTACTTTAAGTTCTCGAATAATTTGATTTTTCATAGCTGGTTTAACTTCCAAATAGATTATCTAAAATTTAAAATAAAAAATAAAACTCTTCATTAATTAGCTATCATACCTTTCTAGCCATTATTTTATCGGTTGGTTTATGGCGAACTTTATAAACAACGCCTCCATTTCCTTGACCTAACTCATATATGTTAACGAGATCATCTTGCTTTAATTCTCCCACAGCACGTTTAGCTTTGAAAAACTCTTCCATGCGATCTTTTTGTTTATCGGTACATTCAAGTTGGTTGAATTCTTCTTGTAAACGTTCAATACATACGTCTGGAATGCTAGAAAAAAATAGAAATACAAGAAAAAAATTAAGAATCTTTATTGCAAAATAATTATCTTTTTCATACCCATTTTCAGTATGGCTTTGATCACTTGGATCTTTTGGTACTTCGGGTAATGTTAGACCTAATTTATTTTTACCCGAAGAAGTTGGTTCATTAATGGGCATTTTAAATTTATGTCAATAGAAAATAAACAAATATATTATTATTATTATTATTCACTGAAATTTTATCGACAGAACAGCAGATGCATTCAATCAATGACAACAATAAACAAAGCGATAGGAACGCTACATTCGATGTAAATAAGTCGCTTTTATTTTTCTTGATATTAGCTTTTCTCTTTAAAATTTTCTTTATTTTGAAATGAAAATAAAACCCAACAATGTCATGATTGTATAAAATAAGATGAAAGGTTACAACTAGAATTTAATTTGTCTATTGAATTATCCAATAAAATAAACATGTAGGTAATTGACTCATCCGCATGTTGGTACTTGGTATGTATGGATTTGCAATAAATTTAATTGATTGAATGTCGAATAATTCTGGTCGAAAGTCGGAATTTATTCCGGCAGTTTATACGCGATATTTTGAACGATCAGAAACTCCGAAATCTTCTCGTGGCCATATTTATTTTAATGAAAATCATGAAGAATCGTCGAAAAATTACCAGATAAAGCGAGATCTTCTATTCAAACGTTTGTTTCCATCAAAATATGCTGAGTCAAATGTTAATAATACTGATAATGAAAAGTAGAATAATTTCTTATATTAACTAACATTCACTTTTGAGCAAATTTTCCTTTTTTTGTCGTAAAGTGGCACTCAAAATGAAAATAATAATTCATTAAATAGAACCAATGAATCCTTAGGTGATTTTATTCCTCTTTCGGATAGTAATTCATCAACATTAAAAAGGTTTGAAATTTTAATTCGAGTTCTTGTTATGATTATATTGATATTACTTCATTATAGAAAACAACCATCACCATCACTAGAAGCAAACTTTAATTTTTCAAGCTCAGATGAAAATGATGAAGATTCATCAAGGGAGTATGTTCGAATAGAATGACTTAACGTGAAAGAATTTTAATTGAAATATTTTAAGAGAACAACTACCAACAAGTACACATGCATCAATTGTTGGACATGTTCATCCGCGAGCAACAATAGAAAATGTTCGGAAGGTTTTGATACGTGAACTATATCAACGAACAAGCGATTCACATACCGAATGGCTCAAATGTAAAATGAGTTTATCAAAAGAATATATTAATCCGAAATATTATGCTGACTTTCAACGACGTTACCAACGAGATATGAACAAACATACACCAAAACGGAAAAAAACCAGTTCTATAAGTAATAAACTAGAAAATGGTTATTATGTTCATGATTTAACTAAGAATGATGAATCAACAGCAACGATACAATTAAATGATACGTTAGATAGTGGTAAGATATAGAAAAATAACTTTATTTGAGATCATGATAATTCGTTCTTATATGAATAAGACTAGCAAAAAGACAAGAATAAGAACTTGAGATTTTTCTCTTCCTGGGTATAATTACAGATGTATGATATTAGTATTAGTTGCAAATCCAATCCGTTATTATCTGGCTCCGTAGGGGGGGGGGGGGGGATTTTTTTTGTTTTTTTTTA